CATGGTTATGCGAGAACGGTACCTATAAAGCTGTCAAACTATGCCGCTTGCGGGTGTTTTGGTTCCGTTAAATCCTTAGTAGTTTGTAATACGGTAATGTAGTCATGTCACGGTTACTTGCAGTAAACGGAAGTACTGAAGCCAGCTATGCGCACATATCCCGCATGCCAAGGCTTCTCTGGATGCATTCGAAGTCGCCCTTAGCCCGCCTATTAGCTTGCTCCGTTTGGCTTTTGTTAAAAAAAAAAACTTAAGCATACTTACCTCGTTATTTTAATCATGCAATCACGCGATTTATTATATCCTCGTATTTTTCAATAACAATAGTTTGATATTGAATATTCTGAAGTATATTGTATATTTCAACCATTTGGAATTTTAAACATTGTGATCGGCACGAGTTCACAGATTAAAAAAAAGCCATTAACCAATTCAATATTGATAGATTTCGTAACAGCATTGTTATTCGATTGGAAATGACTCGCGCGGTTCGAATACTCGATTACGTGACATATCCAGTGAGAAGGTATCAAAATTCCGCCCGGTCAGCTTGCTTGTCGCCGTCTAAGCGCTAAATTCAATGATGTATTTCGAGTGCCTTCAAAATGTAGGTCAGGTTATATAGCTTTACCAGAGCGAGCTTTACTGCCTGTAAGATATATCAATTTAGTCGTTTTTGGCAGAAGTTGGGCTGTTACGAAGGTCGTGTTCTAAAAAGATTTTTTTTTTCTTAGTTACAAGAAATAAAAATTCCTAAAATATATTTCTTATATGTAAACTAGATAGCTTTTATCCAAAACGAATTTAGATAAATAAACTATTGATAATATTTGCATTTAAAGTCATTTCTGTAACTTCACACATTCTGCTTGAAGAATTACAATATATTAAAAAATAAGGCGTTTAGTGGCGGTGTAAGAATATCATGTATATGCCCCATATCATTCCGTGGATGTCGTAAAATGCGACAGAGGGAAACAAGCCAGAAGATGGACAGCAGCGTCTTCCTAATAAACTGCAACTGCCATTCTAGCTGTCTAGTGTGGTAACTATGGCGAATATCTTCCTTATGAGGTAATTTATGGGAAGGCCGTATTTAGTAGTGAACTTTGATAGGTTGTAAACTATAATGTATGAATTAATAAACCTAGCAAGCTAACAGCATAGCAAAGTGGCGAAGCAATCAGCTTTGTAGCGGTTTCTAACGGTTGCCGTTGAGCAATCAGTTTCAAAATAGGAGGTTCAGATGCCTGGGTGATCAGTAATCGATTGCTGAAAACAGAATTTGAAAATTCAAAACCGTTCTCGAGATAATCGTGGGACAGACGGACAGACGGACAGACATCGTGAAATCAATAAGTGACTTCGCAAGCTTCGCGACTTAATAATGTATGAATTAATAAATAGGATAGGAGAAAATCTGAAGAATGACTTCATCCAAACCTATGTCAAATTGTTCACTATACAGGCTTTTAATTTTTTTGACGGCTCCGTAGCGCATTGGCAAGCGGGTTGGCAACCGCAGTTTTTTTTTATTTTTAGTCGTTATTAGGAAGACGCTGCTGCCCATCTCCTGCTTTATTTCCCTCTGTCGCCTCTTACGACACACACGGGATGATATGGGATAGTGGATTTTCGTACACTGCCACTACACAAGTTACATACATGCTTAATCATTTTATATTCGTACTGCAGATGTCAGTCCGAAAATGATCTCTCGATCTTTTTACTATTAATTTCGAGATTTGTATAAAACGCGGCATAAACAGACATGCAGATACATAAAATATAAAACAAACCCTCACGCCTGTCATCTAGTGGGGTAGGCAGAGATTAACTAGAGATTTCCATATACGATCCTGATATACATCTCTCGCTTTTTTCACATCTTATATCTTGTTATCCATATATACGTTTACATGATCATCGGTTATAGGTACTGTTAATTCAGCCCATCTTCAATACATCGCCAATTTGGTTGATAAACTTCTTAGGGCGTCTCTTGCCAACTCTCGACTTCTGCAACATAAACTTGTCACTTATTTTTTATGTTTAATACTATGATTGTGTCCCAACCACCGAAGCATTTCTTTCTTAATCCTAGTGACAACATCTTGCAAACCAGACTTTTCTTTTATCACGCAATTTCCCACCATATCATTCAGAGTCACCCGTTACATACTTCTTAATGACCGCATTTCTACAGCATTATTTTTACTAATTAACAAAGCAATGCCATTCGTGCCGTTTATCCTCAAGCACACTAGAGTCCCTATAAAGAGACATCTTAATGCCTGTCCAATCTGTCGTAGACCTTTTTCAAGTCCAGCCAAAAATTTATCAGTGACTATGCGCATAGAAAAGACATGATTAGTTTATCCCATCCCCTTCCTAAATCCGGTTTGCTATCTCCAGTCTATCAGTTTTTATTTTATCAGTCTCTTTAATAACTCTTTAAATTTTTATGAAATACAATTTTTCCAATAATGCTAAGCAGGCTGATTCCACAGTAGTTTTTTTGTAATCCTGCTGTGACCGTTTTCCATTATATAGTACGACCATAACGGCTACCAGAGACTGGTGCATCGCTTTGGGTCCTAATATAAAGTAAAGAAAGTGTATAGAGAGTGGCTTGCTGCCACTCCCTCACACATATTATTATGTGACTGAGCGTAGTGAGGCGTTGTACTGTCACTGTAGTGTACCTACAGTGTCACAGCCCTCGCTCAAGGTAACGAAATTTTTGATTCTTTTGTTATCGAGTGGTGTAATTAATTTTGGATGTAGATGATAGATATCTAGCTGTAACACCAAACTGTATATCCCGATTTTGTTAATATCAGTTTTCTGAATTGTCTCATACTAAAGAAGCAAATTTATAGACGTATTTACGTCAAAATAATATAAGAGTTTGAAAAAAAAAAACTTAAACAACACGTATTGAATATTTATCATAAGCCGTGATGATCTTGATTATTATTTTATTTTATCCTGGTAATACTGATTGGGATACTAGGATAAGTTATTAAATTATTGTACTGTCATTGGTCCTTTGATGTGAGTGCAAATTTTGAATTCATTCGGCCGTCTACAAGTTAGTGGAAATTATATTAAAAGATTCCTTTACATAGATAGGTAGATACACGCGAAGCTAATAAAGGCTAGTTAAAAACGTGCATACGACAACGGGCAAGCAGTTAGGGCGTATTGGAATTGTGCGTGTGTGACGTGTGATGTGAACGGGCGTGTTCAGCGGCGGCGTGTGCCCGCCGGGCGTCGGCGACGTTGGTGAGTACGCGAGCTACTGCGCGCGTATCCACGACGAGGAGATCTACCACGACCTGTGCGCCGTGAAGAGTGCGCCGACGCCCACGCCGATCGCGCACGCCGCGCACACGCTGCAGAACAACGCTTTCGCTGTACGCCGCCGCCATTTTGGTTTCACTTTTTTTTATTTCATCAAAGTGCATGTGTTGCCTTGATTACAATCAAAGGATGGTTCACACGAATTAAAACATGTCTATTGTTTAAAAGAGCACGGGGGAATTGGCGTCGTTTAGGGAAAATCCATAATAACTTTTGTTAGTAGTTTAATTTTATCAATATTTTTTTTTTAATGATGGTTCGATACTAGAACTAATTAACTTTGATAGCGTTAATTGAACAACAACGAACATAAAACAACATCGAATAATATACCTATAAATTATTCTCATTCAAAAAAAGTAGCATTAGTTGGCACTACTTAGAATATGGGGTAAAAAAAGCACAGCGCTTGCGCGCAATACGTCACAAGCATGTCAAGGTCATTGGTGACGCGAACCCATTTGCTTTTCCCCTACCAAAAATCGCTCAACGCGGCTAAAAATGTTGTCACTTAAAAAATAAAAGCCTTTGCATTTTGTCGGCAAACATTGTCAATAATTATAACCTATGACGCGAAAAGTAATCTCAGTGACGATGCTACAAGACAGATGTTGTACCCCTGATAAAGATATAGATGTTTGCATTTCTTTGCGCTTTGGCAAAACAAAATAATTAGTTACACCAAGATAGTGGTTCTTACGTGACTCCGATTCCCACGTGCTCCCATACTATGGTAACTGCAGGTCGACTACGACATTCTTTCACCTTATTTAGAACAAATCACGATACTAAAGGGATGCTTACTAATGCTTTTTGAATATTAATTTATTTTACTAAAGTGAATTTAGGCGGAAAAAGGGATTCAGCATATTAACACCACAAGTATGATTTATACTGATATCGTCAATACTGCCAAATTGTAAGGAATCTAGTCGTTATGTTAAACGGTCCAATAAAATTGTAATATTAGTGTTACGCTAAAAATCTACACTTCGTGTAAATAATATTTTTGAAAAGATTGCTATGAAAAAAGGTTAATTTTTAAATAAGGCAATATATGCACTTTGATTATTCTTAGTAGTTGTAGTTAGTTTGTATTTAGAGAGCATTAATAGTAGATGTAGAGATAATTTTACCAGATATAATAAAAGTACTGCACTCTGTTGTGAAATCCGTCTTTTCGTCATTCATATGCGATTGAGAATTCATCAAGTAAGTTCTATATTACAAAATAAATTTGGTAAAGGACGAATCGACAGTTGAAAGTGAAAATATTAGCAAATAACGATTTGGCAATATTCTCGATAAATATTAGACAATTTTCGGCGTGACGAAATGTGGGAAAAAAGAAATTTCATGCCTGACTTCGGAATCGCGACGCGGACGGACAAGTAAAAGTTCGGCGCGACGTTCCGTGCATTACTTTGAATTATTCATTCGCTCATTATTTCTGGTATCATTATTTTTCATTCACCTAGTAGTTTGAGATAGCTTGTAGATAATGTTTCGTAGAATTGCGCTTAGAATGGTTAATTTTACTTTTTTCTTTCATGAATTTGGAATTGACGTACCGCTTGTATCCTACTTTCACTTTTATGACCGATGTCTTTTATTTTTTTTAAATATATTTCCAGCTTGCAACATCGTCGCACAGCCTAGAGAAACGTGATTATGTTATAAGGGAGCTAGTGGATACGGAATGCAATTACGTTGACGTGCTGAGTAAAATAATTAAATACTTCCTGAGACCGCTCACACCGTATCTCAAACCTCAAGACTTGCAAGTTATATTTTTTGGTATTAAGGTAAGCATATATCACGTACCATATTTTCAGACATAATAGTTGGCGACTGTGTTAATTCGTTGAAGTATAACACTGCATTTGGTACCGTTACAGCCTATTAAAGTCCACTGCTGAACACAGAATACCAGCGTAAAATAACAGCTTAACACTGCTGTGTTTCGTATGGTGAGTGTAGAGAACCGGAGACCCTTTTTACTGGAAAAGAGGTATTCCATTCCTCATGGGTGACAACGCATCTGAATTTTGATACTTTATTGGGGATAGATGTAGATGTCTATGGGTCACAGCAACCACTTACCATCAGGTGGACTGTGTGCTCGTTTGTCACCCTATCCTATATAAAAATGGCTCTCCGCAAAAGATTACCTCATAAGGGGCATATTTGCCATAGTTGCCATGCTTTGCAAGCGAGTTGGCGAATTTTGGCAAATTGCATTTAGTAAGCTTAATATTACTGCTCTACTTTGAGTAAGTTTCATATCGTGTAGTGCCGGCGTTATCGTTTATAGCGTGTCATATCATTCCGTGGGTGTCTCAAGAGGCGACAGAGGGAAACTTATATAGAACAACTGAAATAAAACAACTTTCCAATAACAACAAAAAATAATAAAAAACTGCGGTTGCCAACCCGCATGCCAAGTGTGGCCACTATGGCACAATCCATGAAGGAGGCCTGTGTTCATGAGTGGACTTTAAAAGGCTGTGATGACGATGGTGATAATAGTGTTTGAGTTTGAGCCTAACCCTAATCTTAAAACACTACCTTACTTACATGGTTGTTGGATGGATGGTTAGAACGAGTGACTGCCTTCGAATTTGCGCGAACTCTAAGTCTCGTCATTTGTCCTCCACACCTCCGCAGTTTTTTATAGAAGAGGCGGAAACGAGCTAAACTATCGCCCCCTATAAACAACGACAACACGAAGGGAATCGCAGATGCGTTGTCAGCCTTTTTTTTATAGGATAAGGGTGACAAAGGAGCACACAGTCCACCTGATGGTAAGTGGTTGCTGCGGCCCATAGACATCTACATCTATCCTCTGTTACAAATCAAAATGTAGATGCGTTGTCACCCGTGAGGACTAAGATGGAATGCCTCATTTCCAGTAAAAAGGGCCTCCGGCCAGCTGCACTCACCAAGCGAAACGCAAAGGTAAACCTCTACTTCACGCTGGTTTTCTGTGAGGTCGTGGTACCACCCCGGTTCGAGCCGGCCCATCCGTGCGACAACAAAAGCTGCCGCGTGGCTCTACCACTGTTATAAAAAGGAGTCTGTTTTTTCTTGAAGTTTGTATCCGTGGCTTAAGGCGCAGGTTGAGCAAAATGTCGCGCCAGTCGTTATTTGGGCAGTTTTTAAAAGCTATCTACTTTTTATTTAAAAGATATATCAACAAATAAAAAACACATTATATTTCTACATAATCTTGATTCCATAAAAGCTATATCCAATTTTTTTTTAAAGGAATAAATATTAATATAATCTCCTTACAACGAAACCACATAAATGTGAAATTATTATTGATAACATGCATCTCCTCGTAAAGTAAGTATTATTTTATTTTGCGATTTACACCAATGGATAGGCAATTTATTAATGAACATTTCTATAGTAAATTTTTTTTCAAAAGACCAATATTTGATTTTATTAAGAAATTATTTTAAAATCTGGGCATATTTACTGCTCACGGGCTTGGTGAAGTCAGTGAGCGCTGAGCTCTTCGACGAGAAGCCCGTGTCGTTAGAGCGTCGACCAACGCATACGCCACGTCATATGAGTCGATAATATTATTACTTATTAGGTTATTTATAGGTAGTATTATTTGTTTGTTTTGGGTATAATTTTTCGTATTAGTTATACATATATTTGTTGTGCTTTTTACTGCGCGATGAAGCTTTTTGCGTGTATTTTCTTTGAAGTAAATGCAAATAAAAAAATGAAGCACCATTAGCATGTAAGGTTCGAAATTTCGAATCCATAATTAAAATTTCGACAAATATTATTAATTTACACTATAAAAGGCTAATTCAATATTATCACCCAACCACAATATCTTATCAGGTATAGTGCTGCCTCGTTGGTCTAGTGGTTGTAGTAGTGCGACTGCTGATCATGAGGTCCCGGGTTCGAATCCTGGATCGGGCCAAAAAGTCAGTTATGAGTTTTTCATTTATGTTCTAAGTTATAATTAGTATTACTAAGTTATAGTTTTTTGCTAAAATATAGTATATTATTTATTGCTTGTTTTTTCTTCTTTTTCAAAAAATAATTGAGTACATAAGGTGTTCTATACTTATAATTCGGTAAAAAGTACTAATATACCTACTTTTTACTATAAACTCAAAATTTTTAAAACTAAATTTAACTAAAAAGACTAAACTGACCATTTATTTTTTAACTCATAACAGGACATGGGTTTATTTATACTCTAAAAACTATAACTTTATACAATTAGTGTTCACTATAAAATTATATTCGGTATAGACGGTAATTATTAAATGCAACATATTTTTTTTAATTATTAATTACATTTGTCAGTGGATTAAATTTGCTGTAATAAAGTTGGTGATGATTTTAAATAAAAATAAAATTCTGCTCAAGTTTTTTATTGTTATCTTTGTTAACAACATCGCCTTTAGAACTCTGGAACCGTAAGTGTTTCTTTCAGACGTCCACAATTTATGCAAAATAAAAAAATACTCTTTCTACCGGAGCATTCGTACCAGGTAGACATAAAATATATTCGATAAAAAAAAACTATGTTGAAGATTGTTGACTTTGAATACTTCCATCCAACGAGTTACGGGACAATTTTGTGTCCCGGAGCTTTGTTTGGGGACAATGGGACAGGAGACCGAGAAAAGGGACAGTCCCGTTCAAAACGGGACGTATGGTCACTTTAGCTATAACCCGGCGACCATGAAGCAAATACAAAGTTAGTTTTTGTATTAGCTTCATGGTGGCGCAGTGGCTTAGCAATCAGTTGTTGCGCTGGGGGCCGCGGGTTCGAATCCCGCATGGAACAAGTATTTGTATGGCCTACAAATAATTGTTCCGGGTCTGGATGTTTGTCTTTGTGCAATATTTATGTTTGTAAACTGCCTCCACGACACAGGAGAAAATCCTAGTGTGGGGGTAACGTTTTTTTACAACTGAAATTGAAAGATTGAACCCTTATACTTCTTGTTGATTTTTGTATTACCTTTATTAAAGTTACCCTTATGTATAAATAAATATAATTACGTATGTAGAAATAAAATTGATTTTCATCCTCATCAATCATTGGGGTGAGGATAATAACTGCTAGCATAAGTAATAAGCAGGCTAAGTTACAAGGTGCTCAGTTCAAAAATTAGTAGGTAACTTTTCAATACGTGACACGTAAAAATTAACAATAATCAAAAACACATATGCGAAACATCCTATTTATTTATTTATTTTTAATTGCACCAAATATTTGTACAAAAGCCGAGCTATCTATTTATTTACCTATAGTGAATAGGTATCTTTTAAACTCACAATTTTCAATGCTTCAGTTTTAATATATAATTAATTATAAAATTTCATAATTAGATAATATATGAAAATACATAATTCTAATATAATGCAACTAATATATACAGAATAAAAAAATTAAAATACATTTATCTTTGTACGCTATGTGTATTTCCATAAAATAGTTTATTGATGTTGAAAAAATAATACTACTTTCGTACAATAGGTGGCGTCTTACATATTTCTTCCGGCGAGCCGCTCGCTACAGCTACGCTTAGGTCAAATGCTCAAGGTCGTTCGCATGGAGTAGCCCCTTAATGTTATCCGTAGCCGTAACAGCCCATTACTGGACATGGATCGCTCCCAAACTGGAAAGATTGCCGTTACAGTCACAGTCAATTGGACCAGAATATGTTATTCACGTCTGGCAATAATTAAAGAAATGTTTCTTTCTCTCGATGGATTCTTTTCTATGTATTTATCGCTCTCTTTTAAGTTGTACGAAGCCCACGGGATAAAATAGACTTATGTCTACACTATAGGTACGTACAACAAGTATTGAGGACCACTATCTGATCAGTGACCAACCAATACGGCTTCCGTCGGGGTCGCTTAGCTGGTAATATAATACCTGACTCGTAGATAGGCGAAGGCATTAGATTCTAGATGCCACCTTTTTTGTGTAAATAAATTAAGTATTAAATTGCTTTTCAAAAGTAAAAAATCAAGTACGGCAAGGGAAAATAAAGTTATTTATTTGAGATGCTATTTTATCCACACATCTTTACATTCTATGTCTAAATTTAGATCAGTCTTTTTCATCTTTTTTTTTTATTTTTTTTTATAGGGTAAGGGTGACAAACGAGCACACAGTCCACCTGATGGTAAGTGGTTGCTGCGGCCCATAGACATCTACATCTATCCTCTATTACAAATCAAAATGTAGATGCGTTGTCACCCGTGAGGACTAAGATGGAATGCCTCATTTCCAGTAAAAAGGGTCTCCGGTTCTCTACACTCACCATACGAAATACAGCAGTGTCCAGCTATCCTATAAAAAAAAATCAAAGAAAGAAACTGTAAATAATGTTATTAAGTGGCGGGATTGAATAGCAGACAAGATACGATTTTTTTTATAAATTTTTCAAAATCATTACTGATTTGTTAAATATTTTGCCGCTTTTGTGAAGCAGATAAATCTGAATTATTTCCTTGTGCATATAGCTTATTCTTATAAAACCCGTTGTGTATCACTAACATCTTTATTTGATGTCTGTGTTATAATCCGTGCTTTTAGTAAATTAAATTAGTCCTAAAAATCGTAAAAATAGTAAAATAAGGTAGTTTCATGTACTTTATTAGTCTTGTTAAAGTATAAAGTACGGTAGTCCGAAATAAATTACAATACTTTATTATAAAGTACGGGTGGCAAACCTAGTAGAGTTCATGGGGGGATTACCTTGGCGGTTAACTTGGCTATAGCTAAGGCCTTTGATCGGGTTTGGCACAAAGCGCTTCTTTCGAAGCTGTCTTTCTATGGCTTTCTAAAATTGAATAATTGGGTCTCGATAATTGGGTTTTCTAGTAACAGTTTTCTTGGTGATCAAAGCATTAAAGTCGTAGTATACGGTGTAGGCATGCTCCGACTAAGAGTCTTTTAATTCTGGTGCTTCACAAGTTGCGTGCTTATCACCTACGCTATTTCTTTTGCGTATCAATGATAGTTTGCAAACCAGTACATTAATTGCTAGGCGGACGAGACAGCACTGATAATGCTTTTTATACTTTAGAACAAACTTGTGTCTGAAGTTGACTTTTTTGTTAAACAAAGTCTCGGATCCGGATCGACTAAGTCTAATCCAGTTTAACCTTCAAATAAAACAGGTTTGCGTGTTTGCAGCATAGCATCCAGCGAAAAGTGGACCGAATCGTCGATGACCGAGTTCTTTCTGATCAGCTCGATTCACTGGAGCTACCAAGAGATGTTGCATTGATTTACATTTTATTTCGCATTTACTACGGGGAGTGCTCTGAGAAATTGGTTGGATTAATTCCAGCCGCCATATTCCACCATTGCAGATAGCGACAAAACCCAAGATACCATCCACAACATCTGGATTCTTGACGGTCCACGACTGTGTAATTTATGTTTTCTCCCTCACACGACTTCTTTGTGAGATCGTCTACCGCCACCAATTTCCAGGCAAATACGTGCTCTTAAGTTAATTATTTCATATTTAAGTAAGAGAACGCAAAAAGTTGTCATTAACAGTATAAGTTCTTCCGGGTCGATGGTACAAATGGGCGTGCCTCAAGGCTCAATTCTCGGCCCCTTTTTTGTTTCTTGTATACATTATTGACTTACCTTACATAGTAGGAGATAACCATGATATAGTATTATTTGCAGATGACACTTGTTTAATTTTCAAATTAAGTCGACAATTGCTAAAATATGACGAAGTAAATAATACTATATCTAAATTAGTAAATTGGTTCAATGTTAATAATTTGCATTTAAATGGCACTAAAACGAAATGTATGAAATTTATGACTCCAAATGTCAAACAATTAAATACTAATGTAATTTTAAATGGGGAGAAACTGAGTCTTGTAGATACCACCATTTTTCTTGGAATCACACTAGACGCGAAGTTTCAATGGAGCCCCCATATATCAAAACTAGCAAGCAGACTTAGTTCTGCAGCATATGCCGTAAAAAAGATTAGAAGTCTAACTAGTGTTGAAACAGCTAGACTAGTTTACTTTAGCTATTTCCATAGCATAATGTCGTATGGTATTTTGCTATGGGGACACGCAGCTGACACTGAAATTATATTTGTTTTACAGAAGAGGGCCATAAGAGCAATTTATGATTTAAAGCCTAAAGAGTCGCTGCGACAAAAATTTAAGGAAATTAATATATTAACTTTGGCCTCTCAATACATTTATGGAAATGTAATGTACGTACACAAAAATAAAAGTAGTTTTACAAAAATAAGTGATATTCATTCTGTAAATACTAGGAACAGACACAAGCTAGTAGTACCAGTTACTCGACTCCATCGAGTCAGTAATTCATTCTTGGGGCGATGTATACGCTTTTATAACAAAATTCCAGAAAATATACAAAATTTGACCTGCTCAAAGTTCAAAAACTTTATTAACTAACTTTATTAAACTAAGTTTGTATAAAAAGGGTTATTATAATATTAAAGAATTTATAGATGATAATAACCCCTGGAAATGAGGTGATCGCTACCAAGCTATTTCTAATTTGTTGTGTTGTTAATTTGTGTAACATACATGATTGTAAGCTGTTATTTAGAAAAAGTCCCGCTGGGTTTCTTGGTGGTTCTTCTTATATAATAAGAGTGACTGTCAATAAGTATTATTTATAATCTATATTGAATAAAAAAAGTTTCTGTTTCTGTTTCTGTGGCATAGCATAAAAGAATTCATCCTCTTATCTTGTTCTTGGTTTCGTAAGATTGGACTAATGGAATGCTAGATTCCATTATCGATAGATCTTTTGGCTTCAGAGAAATCCTGGCAGAACCATTACTCTAAAATATGCAAGACATAACATTCTCATACAGACTACTGCGAAATTTATATTCACACACATACTTGTCAACGCGATATCTTTATAACGCTAATAAATTTTTTTATAGGATAAGATTGACTAATGAATACACAGTTAACCTGATGATAAGTGTACGTTGTGGCCCATAGACATCAGGAGTGGGCTGTAACAGCTAAAATTGCATATCTGTTCCGCCTGTTCCAGTTCCACATAAATAACTGTTCCAAAAACCACAAAATAGCAGTCTGTTACTACAGTCTTGGTAGGTACTTCTCTTTCTAACTAAGGTCTTGAATCTATTCGAGAAAAGGACAGAGCTTGTGACAACTGTAACAGGGTGTAACATTTATCATCTTATTCTAATTAAGGAAACTGTCGTATGTATAATGTGAACTTTGTTATCTCGCGGAACAGGTGCTGTTCTTTCAGTTTGTCGAAGTGACAGGCTGCTATTTTAAGATACTTCCATAGGGCACTTCTCTTTCGAACTAAGGTGTTAAACCTATCCGAGAAAAGGAAAGAGCTTGTGACGAGTAACAGGGTGTCGCAGTAACATTTTTTATCGTATTCTTACAAAGGTCATATGTATGAATAAAGAAAATCTTGTGACTGTCTTTTAGTGGATTTGTTATCTCGTGGGACAGGAGCTGTTCTTTCAGTTCGGTTGTCACAATTACGGTCTGCTATTTTAAGATACCTGTTTTTTTTTTAAATGTTACGATAAATACGCCTCACTCCTAAAAGACATGTCCATCTAATCTCGATTAAGAATCAAAATGCAGATGTGTTGTCACTCTTGAGGACTAAGATGGAATGGTAAAACACATCTACATAGTTCTGTAGGATGCAGTATCAGTGTCATAAGGGTTGACTTAGATATAAAATCGCTTAGCAGTTACTGGAAGAAACTGTCTAGTTTCACTCAACTCTAGTCAGCTCACGAAAAGTCTGCCAAACATGAGCAGTTAATCTTTTAATATGGGGAAGAGTCACTTCCAGCAGTAGACGTGTTAATAATAATAATAATAATTGGTATTATTTATTAATAATGAACAGTTTTAACATATATTTATGTACCTTTATCATTTTCTTTTATATATTTACAGTCCAACCAAAAAAAAAAAATATTTCCATTTCAAACCAAAATTATATATAAAACAGGTTTTAACTTTACTGGCTACAATAACATAAAACGAAATTGTTTGGTCACACTGCGATTCCCCTGGTGTTGCAGTTGTTCATGGGCGGCGGTAGTCACTTACCATCAGGTGAGCCGCATGCTCGTTTGCCCCCTCTCATATATAAAAAAAAAAAACTAGGAATTTATCCTGTATTTTGGCTACAACCCCTCCCCTGACAGACTTTACAATAACAGTCAAAAAACAGCCAAATTTCCATTAAAATTACAAACGTGAAAGTAAACAAAAAATGATGAAGACTTGTTGGATTCAGGAGTTACACGAGATCCATTCGGGCTTACTGCGTCAGCTTCGCTTGGCGACGGAAGCGTGCGTGCCCGGGACCGGTACACCAAGACTGGCAGACGTGTTCCTGGCGTGGCGGGAGCGCCTGCTGCTGTACGGCGACTACTGCTCCAACCTCACCCATGCTCAGGACACGCTCAAGACCCTTGATGCGAGGGACAACACCTTCTCTAAGCAGCTGGCGGTATGTAAATCTCTCGCACCGTAACAAGTCCATTTTAAGTATTACACAATTGAATTAGTTTTACTTTTTGATTTCTTTTTCTTTTCACCGCTATGAGCAATTCATACATACATACCAAGCGTCACGTGTTAGACTTCAAAAAGCAAATTCAAATTTATTTTTAGTCGTGAATACTAACTGTATATGAGACAAAATAGATCTTTGAAAAACTTACGTTTGCTGCATTCTACTCTAAATGTCATACAAATATTATAGATGCAATTAAATTTACTACACTACCTAGTTACTACATTTAAATTATTTAATTATATTATTTTACATTATATTAGCAGCGAGCGAGAAAATAGTGAAAGAGGTGAATCCTCCACAATCACAAATCGTATATATGTATTCGTTTTAAAATTTCAAATTAATATACAGATTTCGAATGAGAATTTCAAGTCTGATTTATCACTTACCCGGCGATGAGGAAACATCGTAAAGTCTAAGAAAAATATTAAACAATGTGAAATATTTTAAATGATAATAAAGATTAAAAGTTAATATTTTTTATTAGATTTATTTTAATTTTATTAGATTATTAAACTTTAATTTTGTCATAAATATAAGCATAATGCAGTAATAATGTTATTTATTGTTGCAGAAATGTCAAAAGGAACACAGCGACGGCCGTATACAACTGCGGGACATACTATCTGTCCCGATGCAGCGAGTGTTGAAGTACCATCTGCTGTTGGACAAGCTTGTGCACGAGACGCAGCCGGTAAGATATACCATCTCAGACGGCTGCTCAACTTGATGTTTTTTATATAAATTCGAAGTGACAGGATACCTGGCTCTCACCCAGGAGGCTCGGGTTCGATTCCCGATATCGGACTTGCGCTTGGTGAGTGCAGGTGGCTGGAGTCCCAATTCCCCCCCCCCCCCCCCCCCCGCATCAACATGGTAGTGGAATTAAATAAAAGACTACCCCAGGAGGGTACCAGCACCTCTGGAGAATCCCTCGCTGAGCATCCACGACCAAACTACTTCACTCCTGAGCGTGGGTGCTCAGGCTGCCCCGCGTATTCGGGGGGGGGGGGGGCAAAATTCCGCTCGCGACTAATGCTGCTCGGGGCAAGCAGAGCAATACAACCAAGGCGACCCCTGTCACGCTATCCGTGAATTTTTGCAACATCAGGGGACTTCATTTACGCTGTCCATTACCATCTAGAAACGGCGACGTTGGCCTTGCTCTTTTTAACCGAGACTCAGGTGTCCTCTCCGACTGATACTCCATATCTCTCCTACCCGGGGTACAAATTGGAACACTCCTTTGTGCCCCGGGCTGGAGTTTACTTCATAGAGGACATCTGTTTTCGACGCCTCGGCAGTCTTGAAGGTACGGACCTGTCCATCCTATGGCTGCGCGTAGACAGCGACGACCATCCCCGCGTCTACGGGTGCCTCTATAGGTCCCATAGCGGTAATGCCGACACAGACCGACTCATCGACCACGTCCAAATGGTTGCAGACTCCGTGCTACAACAGGTCCCATCCGCAGAGATCGTGATACTCGGTGATTTCAACGCCCACCACGCTGAATGGCTTGGTTCTCGTTTAACCGATCATGCGGGTAGATCTGTCTATGACTTTGCTTTGGCATATGGTCTAACACAACCGGTTACTTCGCCTACGCGGATCCCAGATGTGGAAGACCATGTACCTTCCCTGTTGGACCTTCTGCTGACCTCTCATCCGGACGGATATCAGGTCTCCGTCGATGCCCCTCTGGGCTCTTCGGACCATTGTCTGATCTGGAGTACGGTACCACTCACGCTCCAATCGCAGTTGCGATCTGCAGCTTACCGCCGTGTTTGGCACTATAGGTTAGCTGATTAGGACGGGATGCGGTCTTTTTTCATCCTACTCTTGGGGGCGGGTTTGCTTCTCGCCAGAAGATCCCAGCGTTGTTGCCAATTCTGTTGCTGATGTGGTACTTCAGGCTATGGAACTTTTTATTCCATCCTCTGTGGTGCCCATCGGAGGCAGATCTCAGCCATGGTTTGGTCACTCCTGTAAAATAGCATCACGTTATAAGCAGGAGTGCTACCGGGCCTGGGCTGACGCATGAACGTCTCGGGATGTAAACACCAGCGCACTTAAAAAGAAGTATAATTCCGCCTCCAGGTCCTTCAAAAGCGTCATTGTCAAGGAAAGGTCTGAGCACATCGGCAGAATTGGCGAGAAGCTAGTTCGCCTTCTTTCGGGAACCGGTGCATTCTGGTCTCTCGCCAAGGCTGTGCAAGGGAACTTCTGTCAGCCATCTCTTCCATCTCTGCACAGAGAGGACGACTCACTGGCCCATGCCGCAAAGGAAAAAGCCGATCTGTTGAGCTCTCTTTTTGCGTCGAACTCGACTCTAGATGACGGGGGGAACACACCGCCGACCATCCCATGATGTGCGATGGAGATTGATGTGAGTGCTCCATGCCGGATGTGCGATTTACACAGCGCTCGGTTCGCAAAGCACTCTTCTCCCTGGACGTCAGCAAGTCGAGTGGGCCCGATGGAGTCCCTCCCATTGTGCTGAAGACGTGTGCTCCGGAGTTGGCACCGGTTTTAACGCGTCTTTTCCGGTACTCCTACTCCCAAAGCGTAGTCCCGAATTCATGGAAGACAGCTTTGGTCCACCCGATCCCAAATAAGGCGACCGGTCAGACCCGTCCAACTACAGGCCTATCGCCATCACCTCCTTGTTCTCCAAAATAATGGAATCCATTATAAACTGCCAGCTCATGAGGTACCTTGAGGTGATTGAGGTACATGAACACCAGCTGATTAGTGAGCGCCAGTACGGTTTTCGTCGGGGTCGATCATCTGGTGATCTTCTAATCTACTTAACTCATAGAAGGGCGGAGGCAGTAGAGTCCAAGGGGAGGCATTGGCCGTTAGTTTGGACATAGCGAAGGCTTCGATCGGGTCTGGCACAAAGCGCTTCTTTGAAGCTTCCTTCTTATGGGCTTCCCGAGAAATTGTGCAAATGGATCACCAGTTTCCTCGCTGATCGGAGCATCAAGGTCGTAGTAGACGGTGCATGCTCTGATTTCAAGCCTATCAATGCTGGTGTTCCACAAGGCTGCGTGCTATCATCAACGCTGTTTCTCCTGCATATCAATGATATGTTGCTAACTGGTAGCATTCATTGCTATGCAGACGACAGCACTGTTGATGCCTTGTATACCGGCCGTGCCAATATTTCTCGGGAAAACGTCGCCGAGTACCGGGACAAACTTGTGTCTGAAGTCGAGTCTTTGCTTAACAAAGTCTCGGATTGGGGCCGACTAAATCTAGTCCAGTTCAATCCCCAGAAGACACAAGTTTGCGCGTTTACCGCTAAAAAGAACCCCTTTGTCGTATCTCCTCAGTTTCAAGGCATTCTCCTTGCTGCCTCAGCCAGTATCGGAATCCTTGGCGTCGACATATCGAATAGTATGCAGTTTCGTGGTCACTTGGAAAGGAATGCCAAATTGGCCTCTAAAAAGCTTGGCGTGCTCAGCAAAGCGAGACAGTATTTCATGCCGGCACATCGCTTGCAACTTTACAAAGCGCAAGTTCGGCCCCACATGGAATACTGTTCTCATCTCTGGGCCGGGGCTTGACCGCATCCAGCGCAGAGCGGTTCGAATCGTCGACGACCGAGTTCTTTCTGATCGGCTCGATACACTGGCACTGCGTAGAGATGTTGCATCTCTTTGCGTATTTTATCGCATCTATCACAGGGAGTGCTCTGAGGAATTGTTCGGACTAATTCCAGCCGCTCAATTTCACGATCGCACATCGCGACAAAATTCGCGTTACCATCCATACCATCTGGATGATTGGCGGTCCACCACTGTGCGATTTAGAAGAAGTTTTCTCCCTCGCACAACTTGTTTGTGGAATCAATTACCACCAGCTAATTTTCCGGACCGATACGACTTAGGAACCTTCAAGAAAAGAGCTTACACCTTTCTAAAAGGCCGGAAACGCATCTGCAATTCCCCTGGTGTTGCGGTTGTTCATGGGCGGCGGTAGTCACTTACCATCAGGTGAGCCGCATGCTCGTTTGCCCCCTATTCTATAAAAAAAATGAACTCTTACGTGGTAGAGCCATGCTGCAGCTATATTATGGTTGGCTATATATAATGGGTCGGCCCATCCGTGGTGGAACCACGCTCACACAGAAAACCAGCGTAAAATAGCAGTGTAATGCTGCTGTGTTTTGTATGGTGAGTGTAGAGAACCAAATAACCTTTTTACTGGAAACGAGATACATTCCATCGTAGTCCTCAGGGGTGACATTGCATCTGCATTTTGATACTTACCATCAGGTGGACTGTGTGCTCGTTTGTCATCCTTGTTCTATAAAAAAAAGAAGTTGTCATCGAATCTCGAATCTGTGACATGAATAGTGTCATCATGATCAGTACTGAACCTGAACGCTATTACCTTAAAATACGGACCCAACTAAACGACCGATATATGTTTGACATTTCAAGCTTTGGAAATGGTATTTATAATGCAATGCTTTTTTGATGTAAATTTGTAGGTCTTGGTTCTTCTTCTATATATAAACTATTTCGTTAATGTCATTTTGACAATAAATTCCTTTGCGTTTTCTAGAATCATGAGGACTTCCGAGGACTAGAACGCGCGAAAGAGGCTATGGTCGACGTCGCGCAATATATCAACGAAGTGAAGAGGGATAGCGAAGTTTTAACGCTGCTTGCTAAAGTGCAGGTAAATTTCCAGTGTCTAGACATTGAAGTAATATGTACTACGCACTAGAAGAGACGCTGAAACTTGGTTGTTTGCATCACGGCATTAGAGCCCATACCATCAAACTTAGTCTATGCAGTAAAATAGTACTGTGTTGATCTTTCCACGCGCCCCGCACTACTGATGTCTCGCTAGAGAGTAAGTTCTATGCTGATGGCGACTGGAGCCGAGTGTACACGATTCAGTGCCTCACCGACCCGAGTACTTTTGATGTCGAGTAGAGCAGAGTAACTCCGAATCACCGTCACCAACCCGAGCGTGACGGTTCACTTCAGTTTACTGTTTAGAAAGAACGCCTAAAACGTTTTCACTTCAAAAATACGCAGTAGCGGAGTGATTCCTACCGGAAAACGATTCACAGAGTTCTATTTCAGTGCTGCATGCCAATCGTGTTCAGTATGAAAAAATCTTTCAAGGTCATCATGCAAGTTGCTGCAGCTACAAAAGGTCTTCATCCAGTAGTGACCTTAAAATGCTGAAGAGATTATCTATTACTTTCATTTCTCAGACCTACCTTGATATCCATCAATAAATTTATCAGCACTCAAAACTTATTGCATCCCTAGTTTCGGTTTTGTTGTACCAGGAGAGCATAATCGATTGGGAGTATGGCGAGTTAGGGGCGGGCGGTGCTGGGCTGGCCGCGTACGGCCGCCTGCTGCTGGACGGCGAGCTCAAGGTCAAGGCTCACGAGGACCAGAAGCTGCGCTCCAGATACGTCTTCGTATTCGACAAGCTCATGTTGCTCTGCAAACCTGTCAAGGTCGGTGGGTGACGAACATTATATCATCTGTTCTTGTAAGATTTATTGATAGTGACCCATTATGTAATTTAGCATATTCCATAGGCATGACATGCGGGCTTAGCTAAGTTGACATCACGATCGTTAAAGCTAATTGAGAACTATAAAAACCGACAAAGTGCGAGTCGGACTCGCGCATGAAGGATTCCGTACTATCGCGCAATATTTAATACTATGTATGCAAAAAAACACGTTTCTAGTAGGGGAGCCCCCTTTAATTTTTTTTTTGATTATTTGTTATTATAGCGGCAACAGAAATACACATTTTATGAAAATTTCAACTCTAACTATTACGGATCATGATATACAGCCAGCTGACAGACAGACAGACGGACATACAGACAGCGGAGACTTAGTAATCGGATCCCATTAATTACCCTTCGGGTACGGAACCCAAAAATGTATGGAAATTATATGTTTCGATGTTTAGCCTTGTGACAGTGACGTGACTTAACATTGAATTCATTCAGTTTTATAGTTTTCATTTAGGGAATCGAAGAATGTTAACCTCGCTAGCCCGCTGATGTATTAGTATATTTTACAATATTTTATATTAGAGAAAATCACATATAGTGTATCATTTCCATTCTCTGTTAAAATCATAGATAAAGTATATACTAGATTGGCGATGGAGTGGTTAGAGCGAGACCAAAATGAAAATACACCAGTGTGCGTGTTAAGGTGGACGCACATTTATCAGCACCGTATGCGTCATACGTGCCTAATTTTAGAATTCGTTGTATGAAATCATATGCAACCTCGAACATTTGACTCGCACCGTACACGCCGTATTTTATAAAATGCGGCCCGGTCTCCCGTGCTGATACTCAGTGTTGCCTAATGTTGCCAACTGAGTGGATTTTCCACTAAAATTGGTGATTTCCACTACCCTACTAATGGAGAAATATTGTTTACAGTGGCTAGTGGTTTTTCTAGTGATTCAGTAAATAAGGTTTCAATTAATGTCAAGATGATCACTCCAGCTTTAACCCACTCACACGTTTCGAAATATAATTTTACTTCATTTCAGGAGTATTTATTTTTATTGTGTAGGCAACAATGAGCCGTCAGACAAAGCGTGCGTAAGATGATCCATCCATCAAATGCACATATCTGAAAAATCATTCATCATGTAATCTTTATAAACGTCTAATATTCTCCATACAACTGCCTTTTTACCCGACTGTCAAGGAAGGGTTATTTAATTAATTTTATGAATCCAGAATCTATTTTTCTTCGAATTTTATTTTCTTCCTGTATCAAATTATCGATACCGATTGCAGTACATTCGTGTCTTCTGATCTGACTCGGATGAAGTAATTGTATATTTTTACTCAACTACGACGAAGTCAAAAGGATAGTTACGATTATAGAAGGCTATGTATGTTCATCATCATTTCCTCAGGTCTTCTAGTTATAAAACTACTCATCGTATTTTGACAAATTAGATATCTTTAGAAGCATTGTTACCTTTCCCGGGTTTTAGGATGAATGAAGTCACATAAAAACAAACATGGCGGCACATTGCTGGCATAAAAGTACTCCCAAAAATTTAATAAATATTGAAATATCGTGTCTGGGTTAATTCAAAATGTTCTCGACTTTCTGAAAATACATGTTACAAACGAACTTAACGGACGTTGCAATAATTTTTGAGATATATTTTACTGATATTCCGATCTTAACCACTAAGTCACTGTATTCTGCTACTGCCGTTGCTGAATCATTAATTAAAGAAAATATAAATGCGTGTACAAAGAATTTTACATTTCATAAAGTATCATCAAAAGATATTGTAAAATATTTTAAAACTATTGATATTAAAAAAACTGCAGATCTGTGGGGGACTTCCGTTAAAGTTACTGCGTCTATAATAGATACAATCGCGCTTCAACTAGCTATTATTTTAATACTAGTATCGAATTAGGTGTGTTTTCCGATTTAATGAGGCTATATATCAAATACCCAAAAAAAAAAAGCTATGAAAGTAATACCTTTATTTTACTTTAAATCTGGTAGTATATTAGGCTTCGCCAATTTTAGGCCTACTTGTGTACTGCCAACACTTAGTAACATATTTGAAAAAATTATTCTTCATCAAGTGTTGGATCTTTTAAATATAAATAATTTACTTCATAAAAATCAATTCGGTTTCACAAGGGTTCGCTCGACAACTGTTAATGGTGTTGAGCTGATTAAATATACTTATATTAATATATCGTGTACTCTTTGACCTATCCAAGACCTTCGATTGTGTTCACCATGAAACATAATCAGGAAACTTCAACACTACGGTTAAGAAGTTATGCTCTTAAATTAATTATTACGTACTTAAGTAATAGAGCGCAAAAAGTCTTCATTAATAGTATGAGCTCTTCTGGATAGATAGTACAAATGGACGTGCCTCAGGGCTAAATTCTCGGCCCGTTTCTTTTTCTTGTATATATTAATGATTTACCTTACATAGGAGATAACCATGATATAGTATTAATTGCCGATGACACTTCTATAATTTTCAATTTAAAACGACAGTATTAATTTAAAACGACGAGGTACGAACTTGTGGACGTGGCAGCGGCGCGGAGGGGTATGCAGGGGCGAAACATAATATGAAAATATCGGTCGGTCGGAAAAAATATTTGTAGGATGTTCATTAGTATAAAGAGAACATAAATTGAAAGCTTTATTCTCATTTCTTATGAAGGACGTTATTTCGATGTATGGAGTCACATGATAAGGCTTTTAGAATAGAATAGAATCACTTTTATTCAATATAGTAACTACTACCGCCGGTTCGGATAAAACCTCTGTCCTAGGAAGAACCAGCAAGAAACCCAGCGGGACTATTCTTTTAAATAAGGTTAATTTACAATATTATTATTTAATACAAACTATAAATTGTACAGAGGCTAATTTTATAGTTAAGAATAATAATTAATTCGTTTACACGAATTAATTATCCAACGAGTCAAGGTTAAACTAGTAACGGAATACGACAAGCGCACCGTTCCACGTCAGAGCCAAGACTGTCTTAACGGCAGCCGCTGCATCCGTTTTATACAATCAAAACGGCCGCCACCGCAGGTGCATTGGCGCATGTGTGCGGTGCACGTGTTGTTTACAAGAATTCTGTCTAGTTACACCGACGCCGCCGCACGTGCAATGGTGTTGGTGCCGTTATATTTATAGTATGAGATGTAATGTGTTATATTAAATCTTAGTGTAAACGGTTCCAGTTCCGGTGAGAGAGAGTCCAAAGCGAACTTAATCTTCGTGATTGTGGCAAATTATTTATATGATTGGGGGTCCATGTCGTATAGCAAACAGTTATGGGTCGATGAACATAATTAATTGATACAAAGTTGTCCGCGCAGGACAACCAGTACTCGTACCGCGTGGGCGTGCGACTGGCCGAGTACCGTGTGGAGGAGGCGAGCGCGCGGCGCACGCTTCGTGGCGACGCGCGCTGGACCGCGCACTTCTACCTCGTGCGCCGCAACAAGCGCACCACCTTCACGCTGTACGCACGCACCGACGACTGCCGCCGCAAGTGGCTCAAGGCCATCCGCGACGCCATGTCAGTGAGCCCTCGCACTGTTCGCACACGCACACACACTAGCCGCACTTGCACCTCTGCGCCGCAACAAGCGCACCACCTTCACGCTGTACGCACGCACCGACGACTGCCGCCGCAAGTGGCTCAAGGCCATCCGCGACGCCATGTCAGTGAGCCCTCGCACTGTTCGCACACGCACACACACTAGCCGCACTTGCACCTCTGCGCCGCAACAAGCGCACCACCTTCACGCTGTACGCACGCACCGACGACTGCCGCCGCAAGTGGCTCAAGGCCATCCGCGACGCCATGTCAGTGAGCCCTCGCACTGTTCGCACACGCACACACACTAGCCGCACTTGCACCTCTGCGCCGCAACAAGCGCACCACCTTCACGCTGTACGCACGCACCGACGACTGCCGCCGCAAGTGGCTCAAGGCCATCCGCGACGCCATGTCAGTGAGCCCTCGCACTGTTCGCACACGCACACACACTAGCCGCACTTGCACCTCTGCGCCGCAACAAGCGCACCACCTTCACGCTGTACGCATGCACCGACGACTGCCGCCGCAAGTGGCTCAAGGCCATCCGCGACGCCATGTCAGTGAGCCCTCGCACTGTTCGCACACGCACACACACTAGCCGCACTTGCACCTCTGCGCCGCAACAAGCGCACCACCTTCACGCTGTACGCACGCACCGACGACTGCCGCCGCAAGTGGCTCAAGGCCATCCGCGACGCCATGTCAGTGAGCCCTCGCACTGTTCGCACACGCACACACACTAGCCGCACTTGCACCTCTGCGCCGCAGCAAGCACAACACCTACAACTTATAAATAATATTTTCTAAACATATTTTCTTCCACAATTTATAAAATCATATTTTTTCTTGAATTACCGTTACCGTTAATAGGCTGTTACGTGAAGTAATTAATTATCTAAAGTTAATTGTTATTTGTACTGCTTTATTAACCTAGATGTTTAAATTTGCAGTGATAACCTCGAGCCAGCAGGTTGCCGGAGCACAAATCACAAGTTCGTTCTGCACACATTCGAAAAGCCAGCCACATGCCACCATTGTTCAAAATTTCTCAAAGGAAGAATATTCCAGGTATCTAATTAAACTTCTTTGTTAGAAATTTAATTTATCTATTACAACATTAACCACTTTATTACATTTTAGCTTCTACACACACAATAGTGGTTAGTACATTCAAGGTTTTGAAACATAAAATACTTCCAATTTTTTAATAACTATTATTACGTAATACTTTAAAAACGCTTCAAATTTCTGAACTCATGAAATAACAATGGTGAAAAAGTTGTTGATGGAATTATACTTATGTCACCATTATACATATCAATAAAATAATTTAATTTGTTTTATTAAATGAGGCGTATGGTCTATCGAAGTTTGCAAACAAATCATCACACATACTTAAAAACTAAATGAACTAGTAGTTGTTGTCACGATTCGCCAATTAAGGCAGACGAAGGTATTATATCATACAGGCTCGTCTGATTTCTATTTTATTCACAAAAGTGTTTTCAATACAATAAAGCATCACATCGCGAAGTTGACGATAATATAGGAACTTAATAACTGCATAAATGAAATCACGATACAATTCGAATATGGCAACATTGTAATAAAAAAAGCGTTAGAACATCTCACCTGTAGGCGCTGCTCCTGAAAAGTTTAAAAATCTCCATTGCTTCTACTTTTTGACTCCCCATGTGTTTTCCCGTTCTCTGTGTGACTATTGCTTGAATAAAGAATCTGATTATCAGCCTCTACGACAACATTTTTCAATCTGTATCACTAAGCCCTTTCGCGCCTTTGTTAAGGCCGCTCTTACTGTATGGCAAGGTGTTGTGAGAAAACAAATTGACTCTTTTGATACTAGTTGGTAGTAGAATACACCGAGGTAATGTTAATGGTTAATCTTCTTATCAGCAAATTAATAATGCAATGCATTAGTAATTTGCTGATAATAAGAAAAAAATAAGATTATAACAACGTAGACGTCTTTAAAACTTAGATAATTTACCTACTTACCATTTATAACCGACTTCAAAAAAAGGAGGACTCCATTCGACTGTATTTTTTTTATGTATGTTACCTCAGAACTTTTTTTCAGGTGTACCGATTTTGATGATTCCTTTTTTATTTGAAAGCTGGTGCTTCTCATGTAGTCCCATATAAATTTGATCAAGATCTGGCCGATGGTTTTGGAGTTATCCTTAATAATGCGTATTTATTCGACTACATTGATGATGTTATCATTTTATTTATATTGGAGTCGGTTGTACAAACTACTAATTTCTAAGCCACTGCACCACGGCCACGTCACTTGTCTGTTTCACATTTTTTGCTATTTACAAACATGCGACACGCGACTTCATTATTAATGAAAAAGTGGCAATGAGAAGTGCTGGTATTTTCAATCTCTTTCTTTTATCGACCAAGTGTTAAACTAATAACCAGTATAATATTCTGATCTTGCTTAAGTGGACAATCACTAGTGCTGGGAGATCTACTGACACTGAACGATTCTTAAGGTCATTTGCATACGCGAAAAAAATCGAAAATTGTAAAGCTGTGGGCGGGTCTCTAATCAAATAATAAATCTGTAACTATGGCGTCAGTAACTAGGTACCTAATTATCTAGATCTAACCTATAAATAATAATATCTTACCTTTCGGTATCCTTAGAACTAGTAAAGAATGAAAAGTCGACATTCCTATTGTTATTTAAGCACCCTTATTCTATGCAGTACCTTTTAGCTTTTTCAGTGGCCATACTAGAATAAAAACTCAAAAATAAATAATAATGTGTCTTAATTATATAAATAATAAGAGAAAAAATCTTTTTTGTTAACGTAAGGCGCGCGTGGGTGACAACCTCGCGGAATTGACCCCTGATAGGAGGTCGCGTAACGTATTTATATTTTCATGCCTAAAGCGCGGAGTGAGACTGGCTTGCACATACATACTTAGAAGCTCGTCGACCCAATACCATCCCGTGAGTATCGTAAAAGGCAACATAGGAAATGAAATAGGAGATCTTGAACTCTATATTAATTCTATATACAATTTTTTGAGGATACGTCGCGATGCAAATTAAATTCACCACGAGTTTGTTTATTCTTTATATGCGATTCAATCCATTTGGTTCTAGTTTTTGTACCTGACAGGGCGGAATTGTCTTCTGAAGAGCTGTCAATTAAGTCCATTGTCGATGTACTTCTTGAATTCATAATTACTGTATTTCAAAATTAAAACACCAGTTATGACAAAACTATTCTAGGCCGACCATCAATGAAGTAAAGGTAAAATATATATTATAGCATCGTCTCCGTGTGTGACGGGCTTTAGTGTCTATGGAATTGATAAACACCCTTGTAAAGCTCGCTTTTCACTATTGGATGTAATATATTATATCCCGCGATTGGCTTTCACACTGAGATATTATCTTTTAACCAATGTGCATTCGTCGTTGGAACCACACCGCATGTGTCATTTACAAACAAAATTGTCATTTTAAACAAAATGGATATTGTTTTACTATATAGCCTCGACAGTTCATCGGAGAAAAATGATGCAGAATTGGATTTACGTGTGTTACTTTTAGATAAAAACAGGGAGCGTCGTTACTGCATATCAAATCATATTAAGTTTAGAGAGGAATATGGTGAATCTAGACTTTTTAATGATTGTATGCAGAAAAGTTACGAATAAAAATGAACTACGCACAAGATAACACAGGTTCACAGACACAAACTTGAGAAGATGAGGAGGTAGCGGCGGCGTGGAACGTTGTGCCGGGGTACAGGGGGTGAAATGTAATATGGAAATATCGCTCGGTCGATTGAAAAAATATTTATGGTACGAGATGTAATATATATTACATCTCAGTGTAAACGGTTCCATTTAAAAGTACGATGAGCGATATTTATTTATCTGGAGATGTAAAATAAATTACATTATATCCCATAATGAAAAGCGAGCTGTAAAGAAAGGTGAGAATAATATAGCAATCTTATTTTGTAGCTCGTAAACATCATAAGCATAAAGAGCTGCAAACAACTACAAGAAAATTCTTATTAAAAATTCTTATTTTAGAATTCACTTTGTCCTAGTAATTTTTCTAAGAATAACATTGAAGTAATATGTACTTACGTACTACTAAAACAGGTATTTCAAACAAAAAAATATGCGTTACTTGTATCTTCGCGCATGCGCAGGGAAGAATAGTGTGGCGCATGCGCGGTAGGTTTTAATCATAGATTATACGTAGGCAGATTGATCAGTATGTAATAATTGTTAATTTTATGTAAATTATATCGAGTACAATTTTTTAAATTGGTCATTTATTTTGCATATTATATGTGCTAATTTAATATAATATTACATAATATTATATTATCAGAATTACATTTTAATGATATTTTTATTTGAATATTTTAAAAGGTATATAACATTTAATTTACTTTTTTAATATATTTATTTAGATTACAATAATAGTCGTTCATAAATGCTGGGCACACGAGAGTTAAAATTGGACGACATCATTCCAGTTTTCCCTGCTTTCATGGCTTGGACGTGAAAACCTAAAAATAAAATAAACGAATTATTAGCAAATTTAAATATCAGAAATTTAATCTAATTATGAATGTAATTCTATTTGTTTCTACAAAAAAAAAATTTAAATCATGCTCAATTGTTTCCGCACTTAGTACCCACAGAATAGTCTTATCTGAACAAGTTCATTTCATTATCTATATTCCATGACTTTGTATCATGATGTTTGATTATTAATCTATGATACTTTTTTTTATTCATTTTTAATTAATTAGGAATAACTTTTCATCGGTGAGTAAGATACTTAATGTTGGTATTTGCTAACATATCTTGAATTATTTGTGCAATGTCTAAGAAAACACCATGGCATATTTTATCAAGATTTTTTTTATATAATCAACAAGCACGTATCAACGCACTAGCGCCTAGCGAGTGACTGAGTAAAGTGCGGCGATACCGCCGCAGTGAACGGGACAGCGTATTTAAAAGCAGTGTTGTCTCTAGTACGTAGTACATAATAGCTCAATGAAAAATAATTGAAATAGTAAATCGACTAGTTGTTGTTACGTTTCGCCAATCAAGGCAGACTAAGTTTTTATATCATACAGTCCAGTAAAGCTCAGTGAAGTAAATGTTTTTCAAACTGGAATATCTTTCATTCCTGACTTCCTACAGTAGTATGACTAAAGACAAAATTGTTCACGATTGCACCATCTATATTTTTACATACTATGCATTAGTAGACAATAATTTAAAATTTAGTACAACCGACTTTAATATAAATTATTAAGAATAACTCAAAAACTGTTGTTCAGACCTTGATCAATTTATATGGGACCACATGTGAAGCACTAGCTTTCAAATAAAAAAAGAATCATCGAAATCGATTCATCCAGTAAAAAGTTATGAAGTAACACACATAAAAAAAACATACAGTCGAATTGAGTACCGTCTCCTTTTCGAAGTTGGTAGAAAAAGTGTCAATAAAAGTTTGTTTGTGAGTTCGCTATTGTTCTTTGCATCGGAAGTCCGTTATCGTTTCACTGCAAGCTTACTAGGGCTGTATTTGCATTGGCGTGCGAGTAGTGTTGTAACGTCAGTGTGATGTGGTGTGCAGGGCTACTTGTGCTCGGTGTGCAACGCATGTGCGCACAAGGACTGCATCGCGCTGTCGGGGCGCTGTGGCGGCAGCCTGGCGCCCACGCCCCCGCTGCCGCCGCAATCGCACCAGCCCGACCAGGCTCTGCACTACTACATGTGGTAAGCGACGCGCTGCACGCGCACACACACACACACACACATGTACACACACACTATGATCTATGTGCGTGCTAATTCCGCTGCGTACTAAAATATTAGTATGATTAAAAGTACCTATAATAATACTAGCTGACCAGGCAGACGTTGTTCTGCTCTTTCCGACGACACTTTGTCTAATAAAAGAAAACCTTAAATTCGCAAAAAAAAATATTTTTTATGGTCACTTAACGGGATAAAAACTATCCTATCTCTCAAGTTGGACCAAACAGCACACAGTGTGCAAAATTTCATTGAAATCAGTTCAGTAGTTGAGGAGTTCATCGCGGACATACAACGTGACACGTAATTTTTATATATAAAGATAATGTTCAAAATATATTGTGTTGTGCAGGTACGTGGGCGAGATGGGGCGAGAGACGGCGACGGCGCGGCTGGAGCGGCGCGTGGACGGCACCTTCCTGCTGCGCGTGCGCCCGCGCGCCGCGCTGCACTCGCCCACCGACACGCACTACGCGCTCTCGCTCAAGTAACTCACCCACCGACACGCATTACTCACTCTTGCTCAAGTAACTCGCCCCCCACCAAATCGCACAATGCGCTCTCGCTCAAGCAACTCACCCGCCACCGACACGCACCACGTGCTCACGCTTAAGTAACTCACCCACCGACACGTATTAAGCGCTCTCGCTCAAGTAACTCACCCACCAACACGCATTACTCGCTCTCGCTCAAGTGTCTCACCCACCGACACGTATTACGCGCTCTCGCTCAAGTATCTCATCCGCCACCGACACGCACCACGTGCTTTCGCTCAAATAATTCACCGACAGGCACCACGTGCTCTCACTCAAGTAACTCACCCGCCACTGACACGCACTACGCGCTCTCGCCCTGACTCAAATGAATTATATTTAAAAGTAGCTGGTACCCGGCCCGTTGAAGTCACACAAAAAATAATTGTTGAAATATAGTTTTAAAGGAAATGAACTTGGTTCCATACAAGCTTGGGCCTAGGGTGAACAAAGTTTAAATATAACTTATTTTAAAGACTTAAACATTTGCTACTTGCGACAAAAAATCATATTTTTGTAAAACCTGGAGTTTCGTTATTATTTTGGTTTATTATTTGTAGGTTATGTAGTAATATCACTCGTTCTTGGGATTAGTTGTTACAATAAATTGAAAGGACACAAAAGGATACAGTTTTATAGTTATTATTAAATAAAATACAACTCAAAATTTTTGAATTGTTGTGTACACACCCCTAGCTGTCCCGCCAAAGGTCGACCATACAGGTGCCCATACAGCTGTAGACTCGACGGACAACTAAGGACGGGACCCAATGACCTATGGACAATTGACGTACACGATAGAGATAAGGCTAGGTAAATAAATAGTACGTACCTGCTCAGAGGCGAAGACTAGACACAAGGCTCGGTCAGGCGGTAGGTGTAATGTGTGTAAGTGGTGTTTAGTAGTGTGTTTATATATGTGGCTTGACCCAGCTGAGGTGATCGGGCATCGACCTGGTCCGATGCTGCCCCACACTGTAGTTCACTGCAGCGGACGTCACCAATTGGCAATTTCTTTCTTCAATTCACTATGTCAGTCTATCAACTTTATTGTACATTTAACTAACTTCAAACTCAACTAAATCCCCGTTAATTATAATCAAAAACGTAACACATCGCACGACTAATGAACGGTGGGTCAAAGTTCACTTCCGTTTCACTCAGCAACAAATTATTTCTAGAAACGAACGCGACCTTCTAAGGCACTTAACGCGACGGTACAATTAAACATTAACTTCCAAACAATTAATCGACCCGGCGTCTAATTTTCTAGATTCCATAACTTCTCGTCGTTGCATAAATTTGCTAACAAAGCCGACACAATCAGAGGTTATTATGTACGTGACCACGCGATCCGAGTAGATTCACTGCAATACAATTGACGCAATTACTTTTAAACGAAATTACTTTAATCAATCAAATATAATAAAAGTCTCTTGTCACGAACTTACAACTTAGAGAAACTAATCCGAGGTGGTCGTCACGAAACCTCAAATTAAGTAGGGAAGTAACGCGCACAAATAATAAAAATCTAGACCATTAAACCAAAACTGTTCGCACGAAATCGCTGCCGCGGTCACCACAAAATACGTTAACCGACGGCGCCGCTGCACTCAAGCTACTGCCATACTACGACCCTGCCGCCGCTGGCGACAAAAAACTGCCCGATCTCCCACGCGTCCGGCCCGTGTGGGGAGGCGCGCGCGAGCCGCGTACCAGCCGGTGCCAGGTACATCGCAGGAGCGCGCCGACGCGCCCCGTTATGTTGTTTTTAAATTTTAGCAAACATGTTGAATTATTTTCTGCAATTATTAATAAAATGTCATCTCGAAAAGCAGCCTGAGGCTATACATTGTCTGTTCTATTCCTCTCAAAACCCAAGTAACACATTATTTTCATTATGTGGGCGCAACAACCTACTGTCCTGTAAATCAAATATCCTGTAAATAAAAACACGAAATATACCCACAAACACAACCACAAATGCCAAATGCGTATGACAAGTTTAAACTCGAAGTTACCAAGTCTCCTTTGAAACATGTAATGATCAACGACCATACAGCCTATTCAATTGTGTCCGATATTATTAAAATATTTTGTTTAGTTTAATAACTTAGCCTATTCAATCGATTTTCTAAAAAGGTTTCTTTTATTCAGTATTAATCTCTACAGATTCGCCTCAACGTTTCATTATTATGAGTTCTTTTTTTTTTTATACTGAAGGCTATTTATTACAAAAAATAGCCTTCATTATCTAATGCCATTGACAAACTACATAAAAATATTTAAAAACGTTTTGTTTTTGCTATGGTAAAGCATTCGTTTTCGTTTTTTAGTTTTAAAAAATGTTTTTATAATTGTCCCATACACTATAGAATTAAAAAGCATTTAATTATGCTTATAATTTATCTTTATGTTACCTACATATTTTTGTATAACTGTTACGAACGATGGCATGAACCCAATTTCATACATCTCCTTTTGGAAGAGTTATATTGTTTAATAGGAATGATAATTCATTCATTGAATTTGAGTCATGTATAACTTTCAAATAAATTTGTCGGTACGATACGCGCACTACCTATTGTAAGTTAATAGTACTATTCCTATAACTTTCTCACAAGTGAAATCATATCAAAATAAGTTGACAAAGTTTTAGAGTAATCTGATGACCGGTATGACAGTGCATAAAATACGAACATACAAAAATTTATTTTTATATATTAGAAGATCATTGTTCGAATTGTGAGCAGTTGAATGAGAGTGGCTTATGCGCACAGGACGGACAACACGGTGAAGCATATGCGCGTGTGCCGCAAGCCCATCGACCAGGTGCCGCACTACTACCTCTCCGAATCGCGCTTCTTCCGCAGCGTCGTCGAGCTCGTCTGCTACTACGAGATGACCAGCCTCTCTGAAAACTTCGTCGGGTGAGTATTCTTATTTTAAACATAACGTGAAGTTTTTATTGAACACATAATTAAGATACATCAAGTGTTGATGATTAGTGCCTTATTAGCTTAATTTTTAAGATATATTAACACTTATATAATTATTAAAACTTTTCAAACTGTTAATGTTAAAAAACTGAAGATCTTTGTGGTATCTCAACTGGTGTAATGAAATCAATAATTCATACCATTTCCCCGCAATTAATTAATATTTGTTAAAAATGATATTTTTCATGTATAAACATATACTTATCAATACATGAACTGTAAAAAAGTGTGATCTAAAATTCGTTTGATTTTTTTGCTTTCAAAGTTTTTAAAGTATTACACAAAAACAATAACGTTTAGTCTTATATGACAAATAAGTGTTACTGGTTAATTTAAAATTTGTTATTCGTCTTGTGCATCAGCCTGTAAAAGTCTACTGCTCGACATGACCTTTTTTCAATGTAGGGACTATTTGTCTTAATTACCACACTTGGTGAGGACATCTCGTGTAAACAACGAGATGGTATACCGCTATCTGTCAGAAGCCATGAGATTATTAAGCATTTCTCATAGTAAATTTTCGACACAGCTAAGTGACGAAATGAAATGAGGTATTACTACACGGTAGTATAGTTGAAAGCTTTTGATTATTCGGCCAGTATGAAATCGGTATTAACGTGAATAAAACAATAAATCTAAAAAGCAATGTCGTCAGGCCGCATGAAACCTCTTCCCTTTCCTCTTCCCTTCCGGACCGCATACAGAGTGCTCGTGTACACAAGACCCGCGTTATTTTAATTTTATTTATGTCAAATAATTGAATTTAAAGTGTTAAAAGGTGTGCGATACTAGGAGTGCATAATCTGAGAAGTGGCCGAAAGTACTGTGTCATATTGTTCTAGTCCCGTACATTGTGCTGTAGCAAACATCAAAAGTGTCGTAGCGTGCTACGAGTCGGCTCCACGGTACTGCTACGAAGCTACGCACGATTCATACTACTTCGCCTGAGTTCTGCGCGCCTGGTACCCATCAATCAACAATGTCCCTCAGGCGCACGCCTCCCAAGACCTCCGCCTCGGCTACGCAACGGGCCCGCTCCGTGCTGCAGCCCCCCGTCGGCCCCGCTACCGCTACGACGAATTCCCCGGTGTTCATTCAGATAGGCGCGGAATCCGACGCCGAAGCGGCCCATGGTACAGTTGCAGATCAATTTCGTGACTCATCGTTGCAACTTACGCGTACAGCTCTGTCACTTAATGATTTAGCGTGCGACGATATTGTAACGAAACGCGTTAAGCGTAAATTTGACTTAGAGGGTGGCAGCCAAGAATTTTCTCAGTCCGCTACGTCGTTTATAGAAGATTTATTTTCGTCCTTCTCCACTAAAATTGAGAAGCGCTTTGCAGCACTGCATGTTTCAGTAAATCAAATCGCCGATCAAAACTGTGACATGCAAAAAAGTCTGAGTTTTATGAATGAAAAGTATGACCACTTATTAGAAAAATTAAAAACGATGGAGGAAGAACGTTTAAACGACAAAAAAACAATTCAGACTTTGGAGGACAAAATTGAGCTTTTGGAAAAGAGATCACGAGCTACAGCTGTAGAAATACGAAACACGCCAAGAATCTATCAGCAGAATAATAGACCAGAGACCAAAACTGATTTATGCGAAATTGTCAAGATCTTGGCGAAGGCAGTGAACTGCAGTCTTCAAGAATCAGATATAAGGGATGTTTATCGCATACTCTCCAAAAATGAAACGTCTCGTCCTATTATTTTGGACTTAAACAGCGTCATAAAAAAAGAAGCCTTATTAAATGCTATAAAAGAATTTAATCGTAATAAGGGAAAAGAAGAAAAGCTTAATACAAGTCACCTAAATTTACCGGGTACTAGTAAGCCAATATACGTTTCTGAGGCATTGACACACAAAACGCAGAAATTATTTTTTGTTGCCCGCGAATTTGCCAAGGAATATAATTTCACGTACTGTTGGACCTCCAGAGGCGTTGTCTATCTGCGTAAGGACGAGAAACAACCTTATGTACGGGTGGAGCATGAGAAGGAACTTCAGAGTCTCAAAAACTCAATATCTAAGTAACTATAATAAACTACTATATGATGCATGCTTTTTACAAAAACTATTAAAATTTTATATCTTATATTATACGGGTGATGATATCTCATATTGTTTTTTGGACTTGTATGAAAATTGTATTAATTTTGCAATGTTGCAGATACAAAATTTATTAAAAAAGTATTTTCATATTGTACATATGGAATTTAAGGAATATACCTGTCACGGGCTTAATTTACTTAATTACGATGAGTGCTGTTTAAGATTGATACCAAGACGTGAATGTAATAATGAGGAAGACATTTCGATTAACTGTGATTTAATTAGGGACCTTTATTTATTAATGCTTGAGTCACTTTTAACATATTTAACTAACTTCTGTAGTCACACATTATATCTCAATATCGAAGAGGTATACGAAGATTACGGTTCATTATATTGCTTTTATGTGTTTTCGACGAATTAGCAGTTTTTGATGATCTTGACTCCATTGAGGTATCTAGAGCAGTTTCAATAGACGTTGACTCTTGCCAATCACATGTGCCTCAAATTGAAAATTACCTTAAAATTGTAACTCAAAATATACAGAGTATAGGTTGTAATTTTGATAATTTTGCTTTGCTATTGGAAAGAACCAAAATTATTTGCGACATAATTATACTTACCGAATGCTGGCTGTCATGTAACCCAAATATCCCTACTTTAGACAATTATATTGGATATACTAACAAAAAATGTCTCAACAAAAATGATGGTGTCGCAGTTTATGTAAGAAATAGTCTCGGTGTCACGGTTGAGGAACCTAATTTTACGGGCGCAAGCTGTCTAGTAATTAAAAAAGGAGTAGATCTCGCAATCATTGCCATATATCGTTCACCTTCAAAAAATAATAGCCCAGATTCATTTATCATCTCTTTGGAACAAGTCTTAGAAACGGTGGTGTTGTTTAAAAATGTCGTTATCATGGGAGACATAAATTTCGACATCTCAACGAGTAATATGGATACACATACAGAAAAATATCTTAATTTGACGGCATTTTATGGTCTTATGCCAGCACATTATTTGATTACTAGACCCGTTAGCAAAACTTGTATCGATCACGTATTATTAAAAACTAAAAAGCCCGCTCTAACGTTGATCATCCAGTCTGATATTACCGACCACAGCTCTGTTTTACTTTGTCTTAATTTTGATCCCACTTCTCAACCAAAAACTAACAGCTACTCTAAATCGAATCACTCTAACCTCAATAAGGATATGATAAACACAGACTTCAGTTTTATTTATGATATAGATGATCCTGACGTCGCCGCAAATCGGTTAATTGAGATAATCACTAAACTACATAACAAAAACACTGATATTTGTATATACGCCAACCGAATTAGGATTATCAAACCTTGGATGACACCAGGCTTACTTCGATGTGTTACTTAAAAATATTAAAAGAAAGTATGAAAGTGAATTAATTTTAGGTGCTGGTAATAACAAAAGAAAGCTCTGGAATGTTCTAAAAAATATAACCCTAAATCATCGGCTGACGAACTGTTGCAGTCTTATGCTACAGCTGACTTAGCCGTTGATAGAGTAAATAATTACTTTGTTAACATTGGAAAACATTTAGCTGAAAAAACCGCAGATACTGATCATTTAACCGACTCAAGCGACATATCGACTTCTAGTAATTCTTTTGTTAAGTTAAATACTGATGAATCTGAAATTGAATCACTTATCATGAATCTCAAAAACAATTGCTCCACTGGTTGGGATAATATTTCAAATGTTTTTCTAAAAAATAATAAAAATATACTTGTACCGATATTAACGCATATTTTTAATAGGTGCTTGGAATATAGTGTATTTCCCGAAGCTTTTAAAAAATCTATTATAATCCCTATACACAAAGGGGGGGACAGAGACCAAGTTACTAACTATAGACCTATAGCTTTACTCCCAGCTATGTCCAAATTATTAGAAAAAATAATAAATAAACGCCTTATCAACTATTTAGAGACGAACAATCTGTTCGCTAAAAACCAATATGGCTTTAGATCTGGCAAAAACACAGATGGTGCTATGCATGACGTTATTAAGTTTATATCAGAAAATTTGGATAAAGGCAGACGATGTTTAGCGATCTTTTTAGATTTAGCGAAAGCTTTTGATACGGTCTCTGTGCCTATCTTACTGGAAAAGCTTAAAAGACTTGGTGTACGTGGAAAGCAGTTAGATTTATTTAAGAGTTACATGAAAAATAGATTGCAAAGTGTTAAAATTAGTAATCACAGGAGTTCAGATTTACCAGTGACCTACGGTGTACCTCAGGGCAGTATACTGGGGCCCACCTTATTCACAATTTATATTAATGATCTCTGTCAAAAGAAGCTCATTTCTGGAAAGTCTATTTGCTATGCAGATGATACTGTGCTACTTTTTGCAGAGGGTGATTGGAAAAAAACTTTTGAAGCTGCCCAAAATTCATTCAATACTGTACAAAGGTGGTTGTGCTCTAATAAATTAACTTTAAATGCGGAGAAAACCAAATATCTGACCTTTTCCATTCGTGATGTGACGCAACCAGGAAACGCTTTCTCTCTACGTGCACATAGCTGTATTTTAAAAAATCCTAGCTCTCTCACTTCCTGCCGATGTCCGTTATTGGAAAGAGTTGAGGTTGTCAGGTATTTGGGTATCCTTCTAGACAAAAATCTATCTTTTGAACACCATATTCAACATTTAAAAAATCGTATCCGCAAACTAATATATGTTTTTAAAAATCTAAGACATGTAGTGCAACCATATCTTATGAAACAGGTGTATCTTGTTCTGTGTGAATCTGTGTTAAATTATTGCATTTCTAGAAAGGGCTCAAAGAGCTCTTTTAAAGGTCTCCACTTTTAAACCATTTCAATATCCTACAATATTACTCTACAATAACTGCCAAGTACTAACTGTTCGCCAACTATTTGTTCTAAATGTTATTAAAAAACAGCATCAGTCTATAAATTATGACCCAGACAAAATCAAATGTAAACGTCGTAAAGACATTGTGATTCAGTCCAGTTTTAAGCCCAACACAAAATTCATAAAAAAATATTTTTGCTTTCTTGGCCCATATTTATATAATAAAATAAACAAAATTGTTCATATATATTCTATGAATAGGCATGAATGCAACATTGCCCTCAGAAAATGGCTTCAACTAAAGTCTTATGAAGAAACGGAGAATTTGTTAACAGTACTTGCATAAGTGTTCATAGATGTCAATTCGTTACTTATCTGCAAAAAAAATTTTTTTTTATTTTATTTTGATCTGTGCATGTCTTTTAAATTCTAAGGATCTATATTTTTTTTTTGGGTCACTTTTGTATTATTTCATTATATTTTGTGTATCTTATTTAAGGATTTATGTAAGTGGGAAGAGCTTTGCTTAACCTAAAACACAGGGTTTACCCTAACTTAGGAAGCAAGTTCATTTTTAAGAACATGTTTAGTATATAAGATGCATTGTTTGACTCTTACTCTGTATCACTTTTCTATCTGAATAAATTATTATTATTATTATTATTATAACCAGTTTTACGGATTTTATCGCGCTTACTAACTTATTTTATATTCCTTACAATGGTTGCAATAAAGTACTTGTAACGTCGGGAATAAAAATAAGTTAATAAACGCCATAAAATCCGTAAAAACTAGTTTTATTCAATGCGTAGTGTTCACGTAAACATAAGAAATGATTGGTCAGGTTGAATTCGAAGCTGCGCTGGCCGTTCCGGCGCGTGGTGGCGACGGTGGTGCACGACTTCCGGCCGCTGGAGGCCTCCCAGCTGGCGCTGCGGCCCGGCGCCAAGCTGCTCGTGCTCAGCAAGGAGGGCGACAGCCGCGGCTGGTGGAAGGGCAGGACGCTCGACAAGGTACACCCGCCTGGCGGGATCGTGTCGCGTGCTGTGAGCTGTATTACCATCCTGCTATTGACTATTGATAACCTGCTCAGGAACTTATAATTTACCTGATGGTAAGTGGCTACTGCATCCTAAGGACACCTATAACCATTTGCATTGTCACCTCTGAGAATAAATATGGAATAGCTCACAGCCTAAATTGTTCTGGCTCTCTGTACCCTCCAGACTGGAACACAACAATGCAGGCACTGCTATTTGGCAGCTGTTATAGGTTAGAGGATGTTACCTTTTCAAACGGATTTCTAGACAAAAAAGGAGTCTTACCGTTTAGTTATTGGTCGTAATTTACTGATTCACAGGACGACAACCGGTCCGGCTACTTCCCGAAGGAGTGCGTGCGCGAGGAGCCCGAGTGCATCGGCGCACTGGACTGATGCCAGCTGTGCCTCGCCGAGCGCGAGCTTCACAACGCACCTCCCGCCGACGACGACCTCGTCTAAACACCTCCCGCCGCCAGGTGGCGCCACCAGACTACTCAAAAGTGTTTGCCTGGTAGGAATCCTTTGTTCTGACTAATTCTGCTTCCGTGAAGTTAGGTGTTAATGTGTAGCTGCCGATATGAATCTTGAACTATATGCTGGACTCAAAAGTCTATGTCTGTTTAGTGATATAAAATGAGATCCGAAGTCGGTTGTTCGGCAGTTAGTGATCGACACAAATAACAATTGGTCAAAATTGAGAATATTTACTTACATGTGAGTTCTGAAACTGTAAGGCATCACGACATTGTATGCACTTATCGGGTTTTTTTAAGGCCGACCGCTATGTTGGACTCGATACACATTTTATTACTTGTACATTTCACCATTTGTTTGGAGCAAGAAAAACTGGATATAACATATTAATGATGAATATTTTTTGAATATGATGTCTTTAGTTTGTTGCACAATGCATTTTTATTCTCACACTATGTAAGTGTATGATTACTATTGCCATAAAATGTTTTTAAAATTAATATTCACCATAGACTAGAGATATTTTTATATTGAGTCTCTCTTAAACTTAATCAATGACAAGGGGATATTAAACCAGTGATTTTTGCTCTCACTACGTAAAACTTCATATCTGTTTCAGATTAATATTTTTAAGGGACTTGAAAATATTGAGTCATACAAACAAGATTATATAAATGTTGATATTTTAGGAAGAGAGTAGATTTAATAAGTTATTTTTATTATATTTACTTAATAAGAAATCTATTTTAATGCAAAAGGATATTTGCATGTATTCACTATTGTGAATGTAAAATATAAATAAAAAAAATAGTCTATGGTATAAATGAAGAAAGCACAATATTAAATCTCAACTTATTTATAGGATATATTATAGAAAATGGTTTTCTTTTAGTGTACAAAATGATGTAAACTATTCTAAATGAAATCTAATTAAATGAATTTTAAAGAAAAAGCTATATATTCATGGTTAAAGACTTAAAATAGCTAAGTCAACAAACATGAAATGTGAATATAACATATAATCGACATGCGTTGTGCATTTAGTTATTTAAGATATATTTTCGTTGACATTAGTAATTTAATGGTTGTCTAAATTGTATTTTATAAAAAAAACGTGACTGTGGCTCTATATCATGGTACCTTTGCTCTCTTTCTCTCCTCAAACTAAAACTTAGCACTATGGATATGTTCGATGGTGCGAAAAATGCTTTAAATCTAGAATAGTAGTAGTGAAGATATTTATCCAGGAGCAGAGCTATTTTGCCTAAATGAAGTCTTAAATATGAACTTACAGTAATTTTAAGATATTTTATTTATATATAATATCATGAGGTTAAATAATAATAATTAATGTATATACGCCATATACCACCGCATAAAATAACGCGAGTGTAAACGTGAAAGGGTATTTTAAAGAATAAACATTATCTTGTGAAAATGTAAATAATGCTGAATGAAATCGAATAATGCAATGCTCACTTAGGAGCTATGTACAACAAAGGTCAGTCTTTCAATACTTCGATACGAAATTAAAAAGTATTTGGATTAGTTTATCTTCCTCTTCTTCTTTAGCCCGTAACATCCCGCTCCGGGCATGGGCCTTCCCGTTGTAGGGAGGATGTGCCATAATTGCCACCATTGTCATGCGTATTGTCGTTCATGATCCGGACGTTTCGCACCTACAACGCTGCGTTCTATAGCCGTTCTTAGTATTTTGAATCTGACCTATTATACGAGATGGATACAACGCCACGATAATGAACGATAATATCCTATATATTAGATCTTCTGACATTTTTCATAATCACCTCTCTTAAGCCTTTCGCTGTCCTGTGTACTTATTACATATAGTTCATTGCTAATGTTAAGCCATACGGGGACTAAGCGTTCTAATGAACGCGTGGTCGGATACGCGTACACAGGACCGCTAGTCCGTACCTTGTAGTATTATACTACTTACGTATCATTTTACATTATTTTAAATTCATTTTTCCATTCCGTTTCGATTTTCTGCATTCACCTCAAAACTGGATATTTTACATCACCTTTATTTCCATAGGATCCTGTAACGATTTTAAACCATAAGAACACAATAACAAATCATTTCTACTTCGTATTTTCACATTATCAGCACTTTTAAATTGGTGTCAATGGAGTCTACCTTTTTTCGATCTTTTAGCTAGTTTTCCGTAACTCTACAATCTTGGACTTTGTGTGGGCAGTTGCGCTACCTTTTTTCCTATATCAATAATATCTCATTTTCCACTTAAATCTTATAGTTTTCTTATTATAAACCAAAAACAAAAATTTGACATGTTTTGTCTTTCCTATTTATATCGTTTCCATGGAAATTATATTCAAATTTGCTACCGACCTGTTATTCCTATTTCGATAATTACACATAAATCCTCCTTTCTCTTGACCATTTACAAAAAATTTGCGTATAATTTAAATAATTTTTCCGTTCTCTCTAGAAAGGTATAAAAGCCGAACAATCGGTGAAGAAAGGCAGTCTCGCTTCAGTTCGCGAATTAGAAGTATCTCCTAAAGGCCTTATCCCGGGGCCGCACTGCCCCGGGATCCTGCAAGCCTCCATTTACAAGTGAAGTCTTCGGCGAAGCCTTCTTCAAACTCGGGCCGCGCCACTCCGGTATCCTACAAGCCTCCATCTACCTCGGAAGTCGCTTCGAGTCTACTACAAGCGCGGGGGCCACACTGCTCCGGGCACTACTACTACTTACTCCAGGCGCCGAGTGCACCTACCGCCGGCGCTACCTTTGGGCGCTGCAACTGCTGGCTCTAAGCGTTGCGCGCCCCTTCTCCAGGCGCTACGTGCGCCAGCTCCGGACGCTGCGTGTACTGGCTCCAGGCGCTGCGCGCCGTCGCTGCTAAGAAACCTACTTCTACAAGCGCAAACGGCGTGTGCTGGCTTCAGGCGCTGCGTGCCGTCGCTGCTAAGAAACCTACTTCTACAAACGCAACGTGTGTCGCTTCGACTTTTAGGCCCCACTTCAACGCTATATTCCCCTATTCTCTCACCTTTATTTTTTTTTATAATCTAATTGTATTCTCACTTCATTCATCATCACCTCATTTCATTTTTTTTTAAAAAAATTGTAAATACCTTTTATAAATTTAAATATATTGTTTTCTGGCTCTACTTTTGTTGTTTTGTTGTACTTAGGTTAGGTTCTATTTTTTTTATTTTTTTTTTATTGTCGCTTCACGACAACCTGCAGTAACGCGTATACAGTTTGAGCACGCGTCTTGACTCGCTGCGAGTCGTCGCCAGTAGGATATAGTCATCTATAATTAATATATGTATATTTTATTAAAAAATTGTAAACGGTAAAACATTCATCCGATTAATTGTTTGTAGGAATATAGTTTGGTAAATTAGGAATGGGATAAAAAGTTATCTTACACCACACTCTTCAAGAATTACTTTACAGTTTTTGCTATGGCGTGATCGCGGAACAGGAAGTATTTCAAATTATTGCAATTCATACAAATGTGAACTTTAATAACTTGAGAATAAACCCGGTTTTAGAATCACAAATACTGTTCAGAAGGTCCTAAAACTATCTTAGTTGCAATAAAACTTTTTATGATGGCAATTAAGTTCAAAAATGCAAAGCATAAAAAAAATACCTGCTCCGCGACTGTGCTTTATCCCTGTTAACTAACGAGCCTCTAAGCAGTGGGCAGTTAACGGGTCCATTATTATAATACGAATTAGAAAAAATCTTGTACAGTATACTAATAGTTTAGGTATTATTTACTTATCGAACAAGGCTGGTATTCAAAGCAAGGACCTTTCTATTAATTATGATATCATGCAATAAAAAATGCCATATTTAATGTATATATCAGACAATATTATGTAGACGGTGCCTACAAATCATATTATTATTTAAAAAATAATTATCAATGAAAATTTTATCTTTTTTATTTAACGCAACTTTTTCTCGGATTCATTCATTCTCTCTTTTAATTTATTTATAAATTAAATAGTCGTGATAGTTATTTTTAAATGCTTATGTTACAGCATTGAAATAATGCTGTGAAGTCTGTATTGATTAATAAAATGTTTTTACACCATGACGAACTTAAAAATATAATACTTTATCTGAAATATAATGGATTTGCGCTGACCAAACGTTCAACTACTTATCTATGTGAGATATAGGTAATAGAAAATTAACGAACACTACGATATATCACAACTAGCTCTTACTAGACCAGAATAAGGTTCCCCTTTCACGATGCAGACCTTTTCATGTAGACCGTTTTTAACTTATAATTCTACACAGTAGTTAGGTACTCTTGATGTAGGGTTCCGATGTGCAAGATTACCTTTCTATTCTTCATTATAATTTTATTCAGTAGGAACTTTTTTATTTATATATTACCCGGATATTTTTAAATCCGGAGATCATTTTAATAAAATATAAATTTTCTTTTAAACATTTTTATTACATAAATACGATAAAGTTATCAAAGAAAAGCATTGTCGTCGACATAGAGCGTCATTTAGCGGAAGACAGCTGAAGACTTCCGTCTTGATAATTCCAATTTGAACCATCATTCAATTGTGGGCTAGCTGCGGTGACTGTAGTATGAAATTACAGAGAGTCCGAATGAAATACGATTGATACAGAACTCGATTGTGTCGGGAGTAGGCCGGTGTGATGTTGAATTCGGAAGAAGTTTGAAACGGCAATGTCTCAATGTCAAAACTCACTTCCTTCAATGTTCCTACAATACACAAGTAGGAGCGGCGGCAGCATAATGTAAACGAGGTAGGTAGAATCTTTAGAGTTCCTTTGTATTAACGCGAATACTGCACTTTTAATAAAACTAATTTTAGGGATTTTAAAATTCGAACGTTTCGAGTACTTTGCAACAGCCAGGCCCACGGGAATCCCGTTCTAGTAAATCGAACAAATGAAACGTCTGGAATTCAAAAGAAGTAAAAATAATAAAAAGCCGGCCAAAAGCGAGTCGGACTCGCATATGAAGGGTTCCATACCATCGTAAATTCCTTTATTACAATATATAGTTATAAAACCTTGCTGCATGCAGAAAATCTAAAATTTTGCATTATTAAAAGTATATATGAATAAATATTGCATTTTTCATAAAAAAATATTTATTTCTTATAAAATTAAAGTCCGTATCGAAAGAATAATTTAAAAAATAATTATATTTTTATTCGATTCGGGCAAAACTAGCAATCTACGATGATCTATTATATCAATGCAATCTAGATCTATTAGAACAGAATAATAGAACGAAAGTTTTCGGTAAAGTAATAAAACAGCGGAACCTCAACAATACAACAAACTACGCACTAATACAACAAACCTAATATTTTAAAAGTAATGACGCTAACATACTAAAAATAAAAAAGTGCCAGCGAACCTTTTCCGTACCACGTTCTGACAGAATTCTTTTATGTATATTACTATAGTATACAGAGAAGTTTTTGTTCTATATCTATGCAGGGTTATTTTGCAATAACCGGCCGAATTTGCAGAAAAGGTTCAGAATAAGTAATTTAGGTAAATGGTGAAGAAAAATTAATTAAAAAAGATCTCAACCATTCTGTTTTTTTTATCTTTCAAAATGCGTGGTAATGCATTGATAATTCCAAATAAAAATAGAGGCCTTATTTACTCGTATTTTCAAAAACTGCAATAACGGTATATCATTATTTATATGTTTTAACTTAACACTGCAGTACTCGCGCCCTAATTTTCTAATATTTTACTCGCGTGGGGTGAATTTTCAGACCATTTACATTGATCGATTTTAGGTAAATATAATAACAATATGAAATAAAATGCATTCAAATAGTGAAAAGTGTTTATTGTTTATTCTAAATATTATAAAATTAAATGTATTTTAATGAAATGAACAAAAAAAAATGTAATTTAAAAAAATGAGGAAAAAGTTATTAATTTTGCCAACTCTCCGAAACATTTTCATTTTTTTTATTTAGTTTTAACAGTTTTTATGTAATTTGATGACAAGATGTACAAATTAGAACTTGATGGTCTGGACAAATCCATCGATTACATATATTACAGAATTTCGAAGCAGAACGATCACGTGATCGTGGGCAATAGGCGCATCGACCACTTTTTCCTATTTTCTGGACATTCCGATTTGGATTTGAGTCATTGTCACCGCTTTGTGGTTTTAAAAGTATCTGAGCTTTAGTTTTTAGTTCCCGTGGAATATTTGGAACACCAATTCTATAATTTATTGCAGGTTTTACCAATTCAAATGCCACATCCAGCAGAAACATTCTCCGTTCAATGAGTGATTGCTCATTGTTAGCCATCCTATTCATATGATGAATCACCAAGCTATTTATACCTGCAAGATTTAATAAGTCAAAAAATACAGTAAGGGGCCATCGTCTACTGTTTCTTGAAACATTATATTGATTGCACATCTTATCAATAATGTCTACCCCACATTTGTTTTTGTTATAAAAAGTTACTATTTCTGGCTTCTGTTTAGCTCCTGTGGTTGAATCAATTATGCCATTATGATGCATTGTAGATAGCAAAATCACGGATTTGTTTCTTTTTGGTATGTATGAAACAAGAGTGCAGTCTTTCTGAAATCCAAAAACAGTACTTTTTTCTTCTCTTTGACGAGATTCTTTGAAAATTGCAGGTATTTCTGGTTTATTAGACTTGAGGGTGCCAACCATGGTAGTTTTCCGTTTCAACAGCTCTTGAGCTAGCGGTATACTGGAAAACCAGTTATCCATCGTGATATTACATCCAAGATTGCAGACGGGATCCAATACTCGAAGTGTAATATCCAGGACTTTGTTAGAAAGTTTGAAAGGCCCTTCAGGTTGCGCACCAACATAAATTTCAAAATTATATACGTATGGGAATTTCACATCTACCACCATTATTATTTTGATTCCAAACTTTGAAGGCTTATTGGGCATATACATGATAAAACTACAGCGTCCCCGAAATGCAACAAGCTGTTCGTCAATAGTTAGTCGCTCACTGGGATTATAATTGTTTTTACAATTGGAAATGAACTTTTCTACAACATCACGTATAGCTGCAAGTTTATCTAGTGATTGCCTTCGAGGTCGGCTTGTGACGTCATCAAATCGAACAGTGCGAAGGAGAAATCGAAATCTATTTAACGACATAGTCAAATAGACTAATTCAATTCCTGTGCCTCTAGAATTATCCCAACAGTCTTTCAGGTTCCGTCTTCCCGATCTGTTTACACCTATCACCAGCAATAACCCGATAAAAGCTCGAATTTCCATCATGTTTGTTTGACGAGCATCTCTGTCACGTTTATATTTTGATTGAGCAATATTTATGTAAATATTTGTGGATTCAACAATAATCTGCAAAAGTGACTCGTCAAAAAATAGCTCGAAACAAGACAGTGGAGACTGGGCGTTTTTAGCGTTACCTTTAGGTCCACATTGTTGTACTAAAATATAGTGCGATCTAGTTCTTGATGACGGTGGTGGTGTTTTGTTCCAACGAGTACCATTTCTAGACCGGTAGTAGTTTGAGAAAGTACTCAGAGGAACATTGTCGTCACTTGAAAAACTATTCTCCACATTTTCTTCCATGTCTTCATCTACCCTCTCTTCTGTGCTTCTTTCTTCCTTCTCTTCTATGCTACTTTCATATTCTTGCTCTGTTTCTGAGTCATGGTTTAGCTCTGTAACACATTCCTCTTCATTACCTTCTGTATCACTCGGCGCAATATCACTCACAACCTCCACATCTTCCAACCAGCATCGTATTATATTATCCTGACGTTCGTCCATAATGGCGAAAAATCTGTAATGAACAACACAAAATTCATAGCAAAATATACAAAAGTCTTATAGAAACTGAAATCATCTCGAATAGAAGAAAAATAAAACCAATACTTACAAGAAACACTTAATAATCGAACGAGAGATTTGTAACGCCGATACTCGCGTGGGGTGAAATTCCGTCCCGAGCACTTTCCCGCCTTTTTTTTGCCACTAGCGCACGCGTCGAGTGCCGGCGCCGTACTGACCTTGAACCTAATTTACTCGACTAGGATTACACTAAGCGACACAGTCTGTATTCAAATAATTTAAAAAATATGGATGAAAGCATTGGTCTGGGGTGAATATTCACCCCGCGCGAGTACTGCAGTGTTAAGTTTAAAATTTGGCTACTCATTGAATAATTTAAAATTAAAAATTTTGTACAGCCGACTTCAATATAAGTTATTTAAGAATAACTTAAAAACTATTGGTCTGACCTTGATCAAATTCATATGGGACCACACGAGAAGTACCAGCTTTCAAATAAAAAAAGAATCATCGAAATCGGTTCACCCAGAAAAAAGTTCTGAGGTAACACACATAAAAAAAAAAAAAAAAAACATACAGTCGAATTGAGTACCGGCTCCTTTTTGGAAGTCGGCAGAAAATAACCCTGTATATTTATACTTCTGTAGTATTAGAAGATTTTGTTCTCACATTATTACCAGACACTAGTTTTGGAACGTTGATCACTAATAAAAAACTAGATACACAATCAGTGACAAAAAATGTCCTTACCGAATGAGCGCCCACTCGAACACCTGGGTGCGCTTTTAATTTGTACGTAGCTTTGTGAATACAACTTTAAGTAATGTATTTAAGATTGAATTTACATTATTGTAATTATTTCAAGTAGAATTACGTCAACACAATTGGCGACAGTTTTTAGAGAACTATGCATGGGATTGTTTTTTATTGGTGATCGATAGTTTATAAGCATACTTAGTGTTTACGCCATTGGAACTGGTTCGATATGAGTTTGCCAAATGCATATTATATTTAATACATAATGTAACTGCAAAAGTTATGTTTTTTATACATTAATTTACATATCAACGAAAAATCATTATATTTCTAACATTAACTTTATTGCTTTCAAATACTCTTCTAAAAGCATAGACAAATTTAATATATATTTTTAAAATCTCATATAATTTTAAAACTAGTGAGATTAAGTGCCAAACTCCACAACTAACTTAAATATGTGGACAAGTAGCTTTGTACAATTTTATAAATTGAATTTCCCTTACGTAATTAATTTCTAATTAAAAGTTTCGTAAGTTATAAGTTTGTAAGCTTACGAGCAAAGTGCAATAATCGATAATGTTCCTTGACTTGCGATTTTTTTTACTGTTTTCATGCACTAAAATTTTTAAACTATGTATAAGTAAAAACGTTCAAAAACAACCACACGTCCTTAAAACCCTTGTTTTAAATATTACAAAGATAGAAAGTAAACACAATAATTCCAAGTTTCTAACAATATAGTACAGTTCATTGCAATTTTTAATGAATGTAAGCAGTGTTTAAAATTTAAATACTCTTATAAAATGTGTTATTTAAAAGATAAAAATTCCAAATTAATCTTTAATCTTAATATATAAAAATTAGTATTCGTTTGTTATTTCTTATTTTATACACTATCATACCGTTCATCAGATTACGCTAAAACTTTGTCAACTTATTGTTTGCGCGAAGGTTATAGGCATAGTACAATTAACTTGCAGAAGGTGGCGTGCGTATCGTTCCGACAAATTTATTTGGAAGTTATTTATCATTCAACTTCTATTATTGTATTGTCATTGCTAATTAAACAATATAACTCTTCCAAATTTAAAACGATATTTCCACAATTAATTCTTCTGTGTCAGCAACGCGCCAGGTACTAGCTATTGTTAAATATAATATCAAATATTAGTTTAATATGCTATTTATAATTATTATACTTGAAAATATCTATAAATAACTGAATATTGTTATGTACCAGTAGTGCGTGTTGCGAGTGATAACTTACAGAACTCGATATTTCGTCACTGCTGGCTGTATGAAGACTATAGGCTGCTCGGCGAGCTATGGCTTGGTGTTCTCTGTGTGATAAAATCCAAAAGATCCCAATGGTTCAGTAGGCTGACGTGGCAATGGGCCAACAATTTAGCCCGGAAAACTTACAACCTATATTAAAAAAAGGTTCACGAGTTGCAGCAACTAGATTTATTAATAAGGAACTATGCAAGAAGTAGCAGGATACAGTAGTAAAATAATGAGGTTGATTACATGCCTAGAAAACTGGATTTGAACTGAATATAAATATACAAGAGCTCTAAACAAAACATGTCATATCCATGTCACGCTTTTATCATATTAATGAATACACATTGCTCTATTTTATTTAAACTTTAATTTGATTTTATTTCACCAGCACATTCCAACTAGTATTAATTAGTTCATTCTTAACTTTTGTTTTTCTGTTAGATACTTTTTCAGGGTAAAGTCTATTTAGAAATTTATTTCTCGAATAATGAAAAATTGTAAAAATATTTAATGATAATTCCGTCTTCAAATAAAGGTTTTATTTATTACATATACCAAATAAGAATGTTTGCGTTGACTCCTGTACATACAATTTTAAATACATAGTTAATTTTACAAGTATCTAGTGAAAATAATTTATTTAAAAATTGCATGCATGAACGTTACAATGACGTAAGTATTTAACTAAAATAAAATATTTATCACTCATTTGGTATTTAAATTTTAAGTAAATCTAAACAGACCAATGGAATTTGTTCAAGAACAATAAGTTAAAGATTTTAAAAATTCACTTGCAAAGATTCCCATTTAATAAAGTAAAATGATTGGGTCTTACCTAGTTTGAAGAGCACCTCCCGCCCTCCCTCAATTGCGTGCACTTTCCCCGTCACCACTAATCCCAACACCACTACTCCCAACACCACTACACTAGGATAGACGCACTACTGTCTATATACCACACGTGTTTCGCTTCTATGTGTAACGCCTGATTTAACTAATCATAAGAACAATAAACACTATGAAAGATATCCTTCCACATTGTAGAGTAAAATATCAAAACGTGATATTCAAATATTAACAAATATATATTTATTATAAAAAAAAAACATTTGAAAATAGCTGTAAGAATTTTCACGTTTTTGTGCTCCGTCGTAATCAGTATTTCAAAGCACGGCCGTTTATTTAATCTCTTTACGAGCTGTATTTTATATCACACTAATGAAGCCAAAGAAAAAAGTAAACCTTACATGCTCTCAATATTAGTGCATACTAATTGTGAAAAAAACAAATTTGAGAAGTTTGATTTCATTATGGTACTTTAATAAAAACTTTGTATTTGCGCAGTACCGAAATGTATAATTGTATGTACTATGTGTTAGATTTGTATAAAATAATATTATAGATAGTAGATAATAATTATGTACTTACATCATTTAAATAACTCTCCACTTATGATATTGTCGTACATCAATTATATAATTGCGTTTATAAATAACATACTACCCTAACACAATGAAGGTAATTAAAAAAAAAGTGTACACACTAAATTTCAATAGGACAACTTCCTACTTCGAGAAACATCGATATTATATTATATTCTTACTTTTTTCAGACTACTAATTTCACCTAATTAGTAATTAATACCTTCTTGCGATTCATGTCACTATGTCTTGAATTAAATAGATGTTTCATTGATGTCTCCAATCGTATTTTAGACATAAAATGATTAAATTCTTACAGCTTCTTTCAGTTTGCTAAAAAGTAAAATATATAATTAATAAATACAATGTAAAATATTAAAATGTTATCTTAAATATCTAATGCTTCGATGTATTAATATTGTAATAGTATCTAATATAATATGAAATCATATATTATATTATGTAATAACTGCTTTATATTGAGTTGTGAGGATAACAATTTCGAAGATGTAGGTATATCTTATATAAATATCAATTGAATATATGTAACAGAGATTGTATGTTGCCAACGGCGATAGGGTTCCGGGCGTTGTTATAAATGTGAGTAAATCAATATTTCATATAAATACAGATATAATAAAGAAAATATGGTTGTTGTAACATAGAAGATATATATTTTTTCTATTCAGTTGGAGGGTGGGCCCCGTGGAAAGAAATTCGGTCTGACATAATATTGTAAATACTTTAATGAGCTTTGTAGAGCCAGAGGAGAGTAAAAGTTTTTCATTTCACTGTTAATATTTTACACTAATATTTTGATACTTTTTAATGTCTGAAAGAACAATGGCAGACATTCATACATAAAATTAGTTGAGAAGGAATGGTAGCGTCTATATATCAAAAATATCTTAAAATATTAAGCGTCAGTCCCTTAATAACTCTGTCAAAGAATTTTGTCCTGAGAAGGCGTCAAAAAAAATTATTTAGATTTGAACCTTTGTAGGTTATGTCTTAAATAGTCATGCTTCCTGTGGTTGTTTGATGTTAGCTTAATACATAATACATAATTGAAAGTTTTTAGATTATTTATCTCTATTATATATTATATTGTGCCATCCGCCATGTGTAAAAGTAATGTTCTTTTTTATGCTTTTTTTACTTGTTTAGACCTAATTAAGTTTATTTGACATCAAACATAAGTTACAATGGAAGGATACTTGTTTTTAGTAGGTAACTACGTGTTTTTTACGCGTTTTCTTTGAAATTGAGAGAACAAACAATGAAGAACCTTAATTTAAAATCCTAACCTTAAAATCTATGTAGCAGTGCGGTTCGCGGGTAAAGGAGGCACAAGATACCTTTTTATGGCACAGATTCGTAACTTTTATCTCGCGGCCTCTAACGCGTGTTGCAAACAATTAAGTCTCGGTGCCTCTTCTAGCACGTAGTAGGATTTCAGGCTAAAAAAATAAGGTATATCATTCATTGATATTTACAAATGTTAAATATTATTTCATGTTATACAAATGTAAAAGTAAAGTCGATCTGAAAATGTCTAATTAGTAAGAATAGCAAAACAAGTGTTTTCAAAAGAAAAAAATGCGGCGGATTGACAAGACTATTTATTAGCGAACTTTTTTTATGCATGAACGGTTTCGAACTGTTTCAAGCAAAAATAAACCTTATACCATATCACAAGAGCACATGGTACTTCGTAGGTCTATTCTGCCATATGATAGTAATAAGACGGCAGTTCAACCATTTTAAGCAAAATTAAACAATAAGACAAACGCATTGTTTTTTTAACAGGAGACTTGTTTTCCAGAAATTTATTTACAACTTGAGTTTGTGAGCGATCGCAATGAGTGCTATTATTTGTTACTTATTAAACAATTTTTCCATAAGATGATTTAAAACCCACAAAGTAAAAATAATACCATGTACACGTTAAAAAAAGGTTGTCAACCTCTAAAAATTTCTAATTTTCAAAATATCCAGAAACTAAGCTGCATGCATGAACTACTCGCAAAATAATGAATACTTTGTTCTGGATAAATTTTCACACAAAAGTAATCGATGGCACGCCTGGCGTGTCACCCGTACTGAACCGGTTAATATAAAAATATTTTGTGTGTTGTGTGTTGGTAGTCTTACAAAGTGTATACGAAAAAAGTATGAATATACTAAATGGCAACACTTGAATAGAGTAAAATGATTTAAGTCATATGATATTCCCAAAAATGTTTGTTTTTTTTTCTGTGACTTTAATTAAAATATATTTTTATTTTAAAAATTATAGAAAAATAATAAACTCATTTTATATATAACTTCTTTCTAGACGCGATAATTTTTGTCAACTATTTTTCTGCCATTGTTCTTTCCATATTTTCAAGACCATAACATTTTTTCCACACGGCTTACAGGAATTGTTATATTTGTCAGTAGGCATTGTTGTGTCTTTAATAAAACAATATTTTCATTGTTAGTGATGATAAACATTTCATGGAATTGTACTGTAATTGTAACTAATTAATTGAATGTATTGAAAAATTTTGGATTCAGATAAAATATCTCATTATAAATTTAATTCATGGCGGTAACTCTCTTCCTTTTAATTTTTACAATGCCTATGAACGTGAGGGATGTGACATATAAATAAAAAGATTACATATATTATAATTATAAATTATTTACAATGACGCACATATTTGTTTGTGATTTAATATTTTAGTGATAAATGGTAGCTCGTTGCAGCGAGTGGTAACAGTTTACGTTGTGTTCATTTGTTTACACTGTGTGCGAATGAGCGGCCGACGAGTGTATAAATGTATTTTGATATTATTTATGTTCATGTTTGTAAATATATTATACAAAAAAACAGCATATCTCATTGTTCTCTAGTTAGGTAAAATGACTCCATAATAAATACACGGTTGGAAAATTGAAAATTTGTTTTATTTCTATTTATTTTATAATTGGAACAATAAGTGTAAAAGTTATAGAAAAATAGCATCTCCTTATTAGCTAATTTATAAAGATAATATTAACTCTTTTAGTACATTAGTAAAAAAATAAAGAACAATTAGGTTGTATTAAAATAATTAAGTCCCTAGCCCTTATTCGTACAGATGTTTACCTTGTGACTATAGTATTGAAGTGCGACAAACGCGCAATAAGTGGTTACTGCATCACATGGACGACTAGGAAACCCAACAACTAGGCTTTCAACTAGGCGGATTTTCCGGGACGTCCCGCTTCTGGGTCAGTTTTGGACCGTCCCGCCGTAACCCCTTGCGGGACACCTTTTGTCCCGGAAATCAGTGATTTTATGATATTAGTATCTATCTCGTACCAACTGCACCATCAACTACACTATTAAAATTTCTTAATAACTACGCATTACGTATTTCGCGTGAGTAGCGATCTGTGTTCGTTCAGAGCGCGGGCGGGTGAGTGTGTTGCTGGGGGTGGGTCACTCGCTCGCTTGCTCGTTCTGTGCATGAAAGACGCACCTGGCTATCGACATATCTTCCAGATAGTAGCGTTTTCTCTCTGTGGAAATGCATGGATAGACAGCAGAAATAAGCTGTCCGTTGAACACGTCAAGGCTGAACTACAAATTAAAATTAATTTTGATCAAAAATGCAGTTAATTTTATAACTACGTATTGCAAAACAAAAACTTGTTCAAATGCGCAAAATCGCAAAATAAGTACAGTTTGAAACAAAAAATAAATAAAATTTAAAAATTTAAAATGTTTGTCAATCATTTGTATTGTTTTTTTTTTTTTAAATAAATGATAAAAAAATATAGTGGGTTTTTTTTTCTAACCAATTTGTATGTGGTGTGTCGTTTCCCGCGTCCCGGATAACCAAGTCCCGGATGTCGAGCTAGGTAATCCCGGAAATGCCTTTTTTGGAGTTGGAAAGCCTACCAACAACGTACAAAGCAACTTGCAATGTCATGAGAATAAAGGTGAAATATCTCATAGCCTCTATAAAGAATAGTGAGTGCTTTACTGCTTGGAAGCAAAAATAAGAAAGAAGATATCATCCACACGGACTGCTGCTAGAAAAAAAAATGTGACCTACTTGTAAAAAAAAGGTGGATTTTAGGAAAATAGCAAATGTACATTTTAAACGCACAAATCCAAGCTTCCAAATTAAGGCTTTTAGAATGAACTTCATTATTAACAAATATTCCGATACATTTCAGATTTAATTTTACAGCCTTATTTATTAATAAACTAGCAGTTCCCGCGCCTCCGCCCGCGTGTAATTTATTACGATTGGATTTCATGGGTTTTAATTTTTGCGCGGGACCCTAATTATTTTTCTAAAATAAAAGTAGACTTAGTTACAGCCCTTATAACATCAGCCAGTAAGTCCCGTCAAAATCGGTCCGCCGAACAAACACACAGTGGCAGTGACAGTTTAATACGTGGTAGAGCCATGCTGCAGCTATATAAATAGTATAGTTGTAGCACGAATGGGTCGGCTCGACCGGGGAAGGACCACGCGCTCACAGAATAACAGCGTAAAATAGCAGCTTAATGCTGCTGTGTTTCGTAGGGTGAGTGTAGAGAACCGGAGACCTATTTTACTGGAAAAGAGGCATCCCATCTTAGTCCTCACGGCTGGCAACGCATCTGCATTTTAATTCGCAAATGAAGATAGTTGTAGATGTCTATGGGCCACAGAAACCACTTACCATCAGGTGGACTGTGTGCTCGTTTGTCACCCTTATTCTATAAAAAAAAAGACAGACAAAAACCTTAAAAATTGATTTTTTGTTTTAAGTACCGTATATACTTTCATATGCATTTAGTAAAAAGCTGTTATATTAACATTACAAACAGACACTTTAATTTTATTTAAATGTATAGAAATAGCCCAAAAACTTTTGAAAAAATGAAAAATGCAGTAATAAATATATCCTATACTTATAACTTATTTAAAAAATATTTAAATTATAACTTATACTAATAATTCGTTTATCGTCAACATTCACTTAAGGTCCGGTGTGCTATTTCCAAGGTAAGTTCGCAGATCGGATATAGTAGATTTGATCAGCTTAGCGGGAATGGTGGGTCGATTCAGCCTCGTGTACGCCGCGAAGCGATGACAGCCGCCAAAACTGTAGTAATAGTTTCCACCCTCGGAGCCCTTGATCCACAGCACGTCTATGGGAGGCACATTACCAACCTCTTCTTCTTTCTAAAAATAAAATAAAATCGCTATTTTTATTGACCTGGCGAAAATTCCCAGTTGAATAAAAAATACCCAGACGTTTACGAGAAGCAGCAACTTGAGTGGGCGACGCCTGGATGTCATCCATCGAAATGTGCCGATTGCAATGAAGCCGCCTCATCGTAGGAGATCCCTATGCAGGTGACGTTTCGGGAGGTCACACATCATTTTGATAAAAATAATTAATCATCTAATACGCCCCACGGTCTTGAAATACGTACATATAGCGTTGATATTAATGACATTCGCATGATAAAATTGCTAGACGTTCCGGAAGGCGTGCCCCTTATAAACTGGTTTGCTTTTGCCTAAAACAATTTCATTGTGTTTTTTGTGCATGCATAAATTGTCACGTCTACCTTTAAATGCTAATAAGCGTATCTATTTAAGGTGTACAGCGTGTTAATAAAGTGTAAATTAAGACAAAATTTTGAAATCAAGTACAAATTATGAGACTGTTCGGTAGGGCAGTTACTAGAATGCATTTGGTTGCGGCTTTGCGAGCCGCGCGTTCAAACACCGCACGGAACAAATGTTTACAGGGCCTAATTTCAGCAAATTATTACTGTATACGAAATTTAAGGACTACTTGTCAGATCCTCTGCCTCTCGAGGAACAAGTATCATAAGCATCATAACAAATCTCAAGAGAAGATCGGTACCCGGCCCTGAATGCCGTTGATTTAATCTTTAACCACGTTTCTTAGTGGGCTTTTTCAACAGGCTTCTCTTCGGCTGGTCATACCCGGATCATTTGAAACATTTGAAAATTTTACACTACAATTAAAACATTGATACCGGGAAAGAAGCCAACATGATTCCATTTTGAAACCAAGAAAGCCACGAAACGTTCAGCTGTCGTCTCAGTAGTCTCAATTCAATAAGGCAAATCTATGAAAGTAATTGCACCTCCTCAAAATTTCACCCCCTTTGGGTAGCAAATGAATCTCTTTTTTTAGCAATTTTAAGTCGGTTTTAACCTTTTGTTAAAAAAGTTATAATTATTCATAGGATTATTGTTGGTTTAAGGCGAGTGAACCTTTTGGTAAGCGGATACTACAGAGATTAAGGTGGAGTGCCATAAAGCCTGTACTTAATTATATTAGCTTTCCATGATCTTCTTAGTGGAACATAGCAGTTGTCTAATTGCTTCCGAAATGAGGCGGCGAAAATAGTAAAAAGGAATTATACCTAGGTGGAAAAAAGCCCTACTTATTAGTTAAAACTGACTTAATACAAACAATATTGGGTGCACAGTTGCTTATTAGCAAAAAAACAAGATAGTAATGTTCTCCTAGACGATTTTAATGATAATCTAATGTTTTAATTATTAAAGCTTCTTTTCATAATTCTATACATCAATATAACAGAAACTTACTTGTATTGTTTCCATCAGCGATTGCACTTTATTCTCATCTAGTTCCGGTATGAAAGGTCTTATAATAACGGACATTGGCACATCATGAACTTCTTCTTTGTAGGTACTGTGTATGCTAGACATTTTTGCAGCTGGAACAAAGTGTAATCAGAAATGACAGGTAGCGAGTGGCCAGTAGTGGGAAGTATATATTGTAACTTTTTTTAAGATTTAAGGTGCGTTGGGGGTTGGGGTAAGATCGGTGATGGGGCAAGATCGTAAAGCCGCGTCTCCACCAAAGTTTTGTTGTCAACACAACATTTGCCAACAAATCTTGTTTCGATTTTCGGCGGCAACATCAAAGGATTACGCTTGTTGCCAACATTTGTTCCCTCTGTGGAGACGCTTGTTGATAGAAACATTTGTTGGCAAAACGTGTTGGCAAATGTTGTGTTGACAACAAAACTTTGGTGGAGACGCGCCATTAGCTTCAAATTTCCGGCGAATTATGCTATATTTTTAAATGTTAGCAATATGGTACACGACGCCATTTCATTTCGCCCCGATCCCAAGGTCCCGCCAATCACTCCGAGAAGCAGGGCGTGTGCTGCGCGGCATTTTATAAAACAGGGTAATTTTTGTATTTTTCTTGTCCATCCGGTCTTAACCTAATACTTTTATTTTTGTGTTTTAGCGAGAATATATCTTTATTTGTTATAATTTTATCTGAATACTAAGTTTTATGAAGTTATAGCCAGATAAAACTGAGCCATATACAAACAGGGCTAAGATCGCTGTAGGCCGAAATCCAATGTTTACCCGCGTGAGTAAAGATCGGGTGAATTTTATCCGATCTTTACCCATTAGAAATAGGGCAGTGGTTGTCAAACTTTCAATTTTTTTTATAGGATAAGAGTGACAAACGAGCGCAGTCCACCTGATGGTAAGTGGTTTCTGTGGCCCATAGACATCTACATTTATCCTCGATTACGAATCAAAATGCAAATACGTTGTCACCCGTGAGGACTAAGATGGAATGCCTCGTTTCCAGTAAAAAGGGTCTTCGGTTCTCTATTTGTCGTATATATTCTTTCGAAGATTACTCAGACAATGGAATGGGACTCAGCATCACAATCAAATCTATTGTGCTTTAATTTACCTAATGGAGCTTAATTTTAAGATAGTTTTATTACTTTTAAATACACATTTATTTTCGCTTTATTAAGTGTTACCAGCATAGCTATTCATTAACTCAATGGATTTCAACAACTGATAATTACAAAACTTGTTTAGAACGCATCTTTGGAACGTCAAAATCGGTTCTAGTTTTGACGGCACTTAGTAATTATATGCACTATACTAGAATTATTTCGTCCATGCAGTTTGGGTCATAAATCATCGGATTATTTCGCTCTCTCTCCCACGCACGGGCCTTAGGGGCGAGCATAGTGATGCGCATTATTGTTGTCGATAAACGTTATCGATAGTGTATTTAGTTTTGTCATTATGTGGGTTAGTGATAAAAATGAAAAAATAAAAGATATAACAACGTATTTATTAAAATAAGAATAATAATGATTTAAAATAAATTATTAATTAGGTATTTATGTATCAAAAAAGCTATAAGTACAAATGTTTGGAATGTAACAAGTTATATTAAAAATAAATATAAAAGTAAAAATTATTTACATTATTATGTAAATATTATAAAATTATAAATATTTATTATTAAATATAAAAATCATTTGTTGTTATCGATAATGGCGATGCGCCCGCGCAACATGCTCACCGCCCTAGTCGGGCTGAGGCCGAGCTATGATTTATGACCCCAACTGCACGGAGAAAATAATTGTACTATAGTTTATGCGATGATGCACTCAGTGCAGCGGTCGCATTACTTACATTTACATTTTATCCACAGATGCCTCGAAAATAGACTGGGTCTTCAACGCGGGCGACCAACAAAAAGCCCTAGAAATTGCTATTCTAAAAATAATAAACTCCATTAAATAACGTTTATCTCATCTCATTAGATAAAGTTTACAACTAATTCAGTTTCACGGGAAACTTTCACCCCATGTTCCTTTCCCTGGTCTAGTCAAATTTACTTTACTTTTTCCGACATCATGCCCATATACTGACTCTAATTAACTCTACAAATATCTGCTCACAGAAACACACTAAATAATCTATCAATTAACTACTTACCTAATTACCTGCTTTGCCATAAACGATAATATGCTGCTTTGCTAAAACACTTACATCTTCCTCCACTCCTGTGTTGCCCAGGGCATTTCGCCAGGCCTTACTGTTACATTGTATTTAAAAAATAAAATTTTCTTTACCAGTAAAAAAAATCAAATACATCCTATCTTGCCCGTATATTGAGTAATCCCATCTGGTGCCATAAAAAAGTTTGAGATCCACGATTATTTTTTTAATATCAAGGATATGATCAGATGCCACGAACCGCAAAGAAAGATAATCGTTTGGAACATTTATGTATCTCATAATTTATAGTTCGTATTTAAAAGTTTTTGAGCGGTAAATATAGGACAAATCCCTTTTATGAACATCTCAAAGCAGTAGCAGTAGAAGTGGTGTCCGGCCTTACCCCTCGATGGCAAATTCTTCATCATGCATATAAAAAAGTATGTCTTGTTTTCGCACACGTTAAAAACAGAAACCGTTGATTTTACAAAAACAAAAGATTAGCAGAGCTAAACTATGGTTAATCATTAATGATTTGCGCCATGTTCCAGAAATCTGACGTATACGGATGTCGAAAAAATACTCTTTCAAGTAGGTAGTGGTATGGAGTGTAGAGTAGAAGGAGAACCATGTTATAAGGTGCAAAAGTTGAAAAAGTGTCCTACTAATATACTGAAAATAGAGGTTCCAAAACCTACCACAATAGCGCTGGCGTCTGAAAAACTACGATATGAATATAGCTGTTGTAGACGGAGTAAAGTCAGCTGAATTCAAATATTTAAAAAAATTCATGACTAGAGTAGTTAGTAAAATGCCAGTATACAAATCCTTAACTATTTACGTAGTACAAAACCAAGCGGATTGGTCGGTCCTTGTTTATTTCTCCATCTTACTCTAATTAATTTTGGCGCTTTTTTTTTAATTTATCCTATGCTACTGCAGCGCCACCCTTATTGAATGCGTTTTTACGGACACTTTTCATATACAGAGATGGTCCTCCTTCTACTTTACACTCCATAGGTAGTGGAAAATCCGTTCGGTATTACCCACCCCAACGCACCTTATGAATCTGTGTGAATAATTTACTCTGTAAAACTAACCTTAAATTTAATGCAGATGGAGTTTTGGCGGGAAATTGACCGGCGGCGGTTTGCTGCTCCTGTATTATTGTTTAAATAATGGTTTGAAGTGGACTTTGATATGTAAAAGTGTTGCGATTTTGTGTATTAAGTGTCTACGCATGTGAACTATTAGTGGAAACAGTGAAACAAGTGCTCTGATGGTGATGGATTCTCAAGATAAGCTGTTTGTTTGCATAGGCACCTTTAGATACCATCGCCAACTATCAGCTGTCTGCTGGATCAATTTGCCGCCAAAATCTCCCAAGAACTGCACAATGTGACGCATCAACATATTGTGAAGCAGTATACTATGAAGGAGTGGGGAAATTACAATAAACCGAATAAAAATACTTAAGACTTGGCCTAAAGGTCTAGATACCAGGCCATAAACTCCAAAAAAAAAATTTAATGCAGATATGTCAAGGATCACTTGTTAGAGAACAGTTTATTATTCTGCGCTGTGCTTTACGTAAACAAATAATATATAACATGAGAAAAGCATTAGTATGAAAATTCAAAACAATCTTGCATATTAGGTACTTACTTAATTTTATAGGTAACCTTTATGTCCCTTACCAAAATATGATATATTTAACATTTAAATAGACAATGATCCTGTATTGTGATTTGTAAGTAAATTGTGAATACGAATTCAAAACTCGGTGATCCAATATAGGTACCTTATAACTTATGAAATTAATTGTTACGCTATCGCGCAATATACCTACTGTGATACTCAGTAAAAATACACGATATTCTTTTATTTTTAGAATTACTTACAATGTTTTGCAGCAGTCACGAAGTTATTTGACAAATTTGTGATGGATTTTAACATATCTAATAAGTAACGAGTCGGTCTAATGACCTCACTACACTGAGACTGACACTGACTCAACCAATTTAGTTTCATTGCCGTTTCGTCATAGATTACTTATTCATTCACTATATAGAAGGTCATTACAACACTGATAACAACGTACACAAACATTTTTTATTTAATCAATATGTTGTCAACATTATGTAAGGTTTACCTATTGATTGGTTTGTAGTAAATAAATCCATGAAACTTCAACACAAGTGGTGAAATTAAAAATTTTGTACAACCGACTTCACAATATAAATAAAATGAAAACATCATCAATGTAATCGTCGAAGTCAAGGATTACTCAAAACCTACTGGTCAGATCTTGATCAAATTTATAAGGGACCACATGAGAAGCACCAGCTTTCAAATAAAAAAGAAATCATCAAAATCGGCTAACCTAGAAAAACGTTCTGAGGTAACTCACATAAAACACATACAGTCGAATTGCGTACCTCCTCCTTTTTTAAAGTCGACTAAAAACTGTCTAAACCGCAAAGCAATGGCAGATTTTAGGGGGCAGCGGTGCAATATCATTAAATATATCGAACGCTTGGTGATTTCTGAAAATAGAGATAATCTCCACGAGCACACACTTTCCAAGTGGGTACAAAAATTTATTACCTATAATATAAGTATTGTTTTATAATTTTATTGTAATATAACGGAATAAATAATAGTACAAGAACAGAAGGATCACTCTCTGATAGCAAATTTGCGAGTTTAAATTTAATAGTTACAACGTCGCTAATGTTGTAAATAAATTAGCCTACCGTTTATATCGTCGAAAAAAAAAAATTATGCGGCGCGCGTATTAAATCAAAATGCACCTTACCACCGCGTGCGAGTGTCTGTATCACTTAGCCCGTTACGCGCCTTTGTTAAGACCTCTTCTACTATAGGGTTAGGTGTTGTGAGAATAAATTGAATCCTTTGATATTAGTTGGTATATAGCAGAATACACGGATGTGTTATGCGATGTATTAGTATTTTTTTTATTTTGTTAATAAAAAACGTTACCCCCACACTAGGATTTTCTCCTGTATCGTGGAGGCAGTTAACAAACATAAATTGTTTGTACTTGTTCCGTGCGGGACTCGAACCCGCGGTCCCAGCGTTGCAACTCATTGCTAAGCCACTGCACCACGGAGCCATCAAAAACACTATATTGTTCAATGTGAGGAAGGTCAATACGCAACATCGAGGAAAATTAAGATTATAACAACGTGAACGCCTTTGAAACTCAGATAATTTACCTACTTAATATTTTAACCGACCTCAAACAAAGGAGGAGGTACTCAATTCGACTTTTTTTATGTGTTACCTCAGAAATTTTTTCTAGATGAATCGATTTTGATGATTCAATTTTTATATGAAAGCTAGTGCATTTAATTTATACATCCCATAAAAATTTGAACAAGATCTGACCAGTAGTTTTGTAGTTATCCTTAATAATGCGTATTAATATTGAAGTCGGTTGAGCAAAATTTTTTATTTCATTAGCTGTCTCTCTTAATCTTATTTTAAAAACGTTACCTCCACACTAGGATTTTCTCCTGTATCGTTTACTAAGCCACTGCGCCACGGAGTCGTCACATGTCTGTTTCACTTTTTTTTTCTATTTACAAACATGCGACACGCGACTTCATTATTAATGAAAGAGTGGCAATGAGAAGTGCTGCTACTTTTACTCTTTCTTTTATCGACCAAGTGTTAAAGTTAAACTAGTAAGTAACCAGTATATGCTGATCTTGCATTAGTAGGTAGTCACTAGTGCTGGGAGGTTTACTTACACAGACGAATTTTTAAGGTCATTGGTATTATACACGAAAAATATCGAAAACTGCGAAGCTGTGGTCGGATAACTAATCAAATAATAAATTTGTAACTATGGCGTCTTTTTCCTTTTTTATTTGCTGCTGCTTTTTATGTGATCCCATATAAATTTGATCAAGGTCTGACCAATAGTTTTTGAGTTATCCTTAATAATATACATATATTGAAGTCGGTTGTAAAAAATAATTTTAAATTATTAAGATATAAAAATGGGAGGGGGGAATTTTTTTTTTACTAGCGGCTCTAGACGGCAGCAGTCTATTCTATACCAATACCGCTAGGTTGTCAGCGAGCTACACGTTAATAGAAAGATACCTTTGAGATGGATGGCGATATAACCAATATGGTTACCGCGTTGTAGCCCATAGCACGGGCTTTGAATCCATAGCTTAGTCACCCATGCTTCCGGAAACTAGTTTTCCTGTTCCATAGCCTCCGTAACGAACCTTGTCTGTTGCGCAGATTGATACAAAGGCCGCGGTGGAAAATGCGCTTTATTTTCCAATACGCTTTGCCTGAGAAGGAACATGGGAAGGAGTTATCTTCTCTCCCTGAGGAGTGATCGTTATGGGGCAGTTGGCGCTAGTGAGGCGCGATATGTAATCCTTCCCGTGACTCTGCTGATATGCGGTGGAACAGATGGAACACCATGGTTTTAGTGGGTGCGAGTCGGACATACCTAACCGTTCTTTGCCCTGCGAAACAGATATGTGTAAGCATTTGTCTTTCAAAACTCCGTGAAAAATCATAATCACCAGATCAAATTACAAGTTACAAGTAGGTATGCGGCTTATCTGATAGTAAGTGTCGACCGCCGCCCATGAACAACTGCAACACCAGGAGAATTGCAGGTGCGTTGCCGGCCTTTTAAAAAGTATCTCGTTTTTAAAAATTCCTAAGTCCGTATCAGTCTGGAAAATCGTAAACGATTTCACAAAAAGGTCATGTGAAGAAGAAAACTCTTAGTAAATCGCACAGTGAAGGACCGCCCAGCATCCAGATGGTGTGGATGGTATCTTGAGTGATATCGCGATGGTGGTGGAATTGCGCGGCGTGGATTATTCTGAACAATTCCTCAGAGTACTCCCCGTGGTAAATGCGATAAAAAATACAGAGATGGCTTCGCTGCGCCAATGAATGAGCCGATCAGAAAGAACTTTTTACTGGAAACGAGGCATTCCATCTTAGTCCTCACGGGTGACAACGCATCTACATTTTGATTCATAATCGAGGATAGATGTAGATGTCTATGGGCCACAGCAACCACTTACCATCAGGTGGACTGTGTGCTAGTTTGTCACCCTTATCCTATAAAAAAAACTGTTATTTATATGCATGTTTGTTATTAGAGAAGATACTTTCATTATCTATGGATTGTCTATGGGTCTAAACTTTCCTATTTTGTATAATAAAAATATTATTGACTTAAAAAATGAAAAAAATATGATACTTACTTACCGTAGGTACTTGTACAGTTTATTTCTTTCGTTTAATTCGTTCAACGTTAGTACTGTTTGTTAAACTGTAGTATATTTAAAACCATGTTGGCACTTGACATTTTTTTTTTTACGTCGAGTAGAAATTCTATGTACAACGTCTATGTGCTTATAAATAAGGGAAAAATAAAACCCACTAATGTAACTACACAAAAATGTATTTTAGTCAATCTGGTGGTCGCAATAAAATTGAAATCGTCGTATACATAGTGTGCACGCCGCCGTTTTCGGTTCATTTCAATTTAATCGTGAAGTTATGAATATATAATTTATTTAAATCTTGTTATAAATAAGTACTGGCGCGAAATCTTTGTAAAATCCTAACGGCAGCGGTGCAATATCTGTAGCAATTTTAAAACATTTTCATTTTTTACTCGTATACTGTTTCAGATATTCGAATTAGAACACATCAACTTAAACTCTATATAATTTTCCTCATTTTCAAACTATCACTAAGTGTATTCGTTTTCATTAATTTTTGTAATTCATTATCGTATATTCAATTTGCTCAAATCAACTGAAAATATGAAAAATAATAAAACCATGATTTACATTAAAACTTATAGACTACATGAAAAAATAAAATTTCGTGCTACCAACATTATAGCACCAGATAAAAAATATAATATTTTGTTCTGTTATTCACAACGCCCGATTTTACGCGGGAAACAAATACATGATTAGTATAGAGTGATAAAAATAGCTATTGTTAATAGGACTCCACGTTTAAGATGAAAATACTTAAGTGTGCGCCTAACACAACCGTCACTAATAAAATATTTAATTGCACACAAGTCGCCGGTGCGAGCAACGTTCCTTCCACTCCAGACCATCGATAGCGCTCGAAAACTTTCTATAACTTAAATATTGATTTCATTATAACCGCCTTACTCCCTCCTACTACCTTCCAGGCACTGCAAACACTTTCTGTTACTATTTCAAAATATCATATAATATAAATATAAATACCTACTGACAACATACAATTTTAAGAAATGCAGTCAAATATTGCCATTAACAAAATTAGGGATATAATTTTACGTACAATCTAATGAAGGTTTCTATCATATTGATATTCTCATACAAACATATAATTGGTTTTTAAGATTCCGTACCCAAAGGGTAAACCAACGAGACCCTATTACTAAACCTCCGCTGTCCATCCGTCTGTCTGTCATAGGGTATCTCACAATCAGTAACAGGTAGACAGTTGAAATTTTCACAGAATGTGTACTTCTATTGCCGCTATAACAACAAATAATAAAAATTAAAATAAATTAAAAATCAAAGGGGGCTCCCCTGCTAGAAACGTGTTTACGATGGTATGGAACCCTTCATGCGCGAGTTCGACTCACACTTGGCCGGTTATTGTTTTTAAAATCAACCCAAAGTTGATCTTTACACTCTGATAAATATATTGTAAATAATTTGTAACACTTCATTTGTGTACAATGAAAATTCTTTGAAATAAATTAGCAAGTCCAATTTTTGAATACACTCCTTAAAATCAATAGTGTGGTTCGCGACAAATTAAGTTTGTAATGGATAAACAATAGGTAGGTAGTGTTGATGAATACAAAAGATGAACCTAGAAAAGTATTTGAAGGAGCTAAAAAGCAATAAATCCTCAAAATTAACTAACTTTGTTATAAGTTACCTATGGCCTGCAGTAGATGAGTTGTTGCACGAAAGCACCCATAGATAGGACACTATTCAGCATATACCTGAATACTTAGTCGTATTTTACTACATTATCTTACATTCTATCGTATATTTATATTTACCGTATAGTAAAAGTTAGTAAACATGTAGAAACAAGAGATCTTGATGCGTAACTAATACTGCCAAATGGTTAAGCAAAACAATTTTTTTAAGATAATTCACTGTTCTTGTAATTATAATACATAAAGCTGCGCATACAAAAACATATAAAAATCGACTTATTATTATTTCCAATAAATTAATCATATATCATATAAATATGTGATGCCTTATTTTTGTTATGATTAATATTTTAAATAAATAAACAGTAACTGCATTACTACGACGTTTTTAATAAATAATTTCAAAATCGCTAATCGTATACGCAGCCTAAGAGTTGTCATGTTAAAATAATAAAATAATAATAAACGAATACTGCGCACCAGTCGGGAAGTTTGATAATACAAGAAAGGGCAAAGTTCAACGTTCGTCCAAAAATATTATAGCTAAAGGTGTCTAGATTAAAGTTCATAGTATACAATGTTCTATTCGCTAAGGCATCGAGGCGCCGCCTCCAGCCCCTCCGGCCGCCCTCCAGCTGATTAAATATCGTACGTTATATAAATGGCAAATCTGTGGAAGCTGCACGATTATGCTTGCACTCGTGCCCTGAAACAATAGACACACATCATTATTGCTAATAGCTTTAGCTACAACCAATGTAAAAACAAGTGGTAAAATTAAAAATGTTATACAACCGATTTCAATATAAATAAAATAATGATGTTCTCAACATCATCAATGTAATTGAAGTCAATTAAATACGCATTATTAAGAATAACTCAAAAACTACTGGTCAGATCTTGATCAAATTTATATGTGACCACATGAGAAGCATAAGGTTTTAAATAAATAAAAAAATCATCAAAATCTAGAAAAAATAATCTGAGATAATACCCATACAAAATATAAATACAGTCGAATTGAGAACCTCTTCCTTTTTTGAAGTCGGTTGAAAAAAAGCGTGATGCTGCTTTAATCGTTAGAAAACATAAAAATTCAAATAATACGAGGGTGGATTGAAAAGTACTCGGCCTAACCAAGAAAATAAACAAATACTAAATCAGTTATATTTTTATTTTTCTACATAATCACCATCAAGTTCAATACACTTTTGCCACCTCCCCTTCCAAGCATTTAGACCGTTGAAAAAAAATGATTCTTCCTTAGAGTCAAAATATGCGTCTACAGCTGCTTTGACCTCGTCGTTTGTCGAAAATCTTTGACCTCCCAAGTGCTTTTTAGGTTAGGGAACAGAAAGAAGTCTGATGGTGCCAGATCAGGTGAATACGGCGGATACGGTAACAGTTCAAGGCCACAGTTGTGAATTTCAGCCATTGACTGTACTGACGTGTGAACACGGGCGTTATCTTGATGAAACAGGACTTTTCTTCTGAGCATTCCCTCGACGTTTTTCTTTTATTTCCTCTCGTAAACGACGTAGTAAGGTGCAATAGTAATCAGAGTTTATATTCTGACCCCTTTCAAGATAATCAATCATAATCACACCTTTCGAGTCCCAGAATACTGAAGTCATCACCTTATTTGCCGACAAAATCGACTTAGCCTTTTTAGGGGGTGGTGAACCAGGTCTTCTCTACTGTTTTGATTGTTGTTTTGTTTCCGGTGTACAGTAATGAACCCATGTTTCGTCCATAGTAACAAAACGATTCAAAAAATCATCTGCATCGGCTTCAAATAACTCCAAACAGTCGCGTGAAATAGTCAATCGCGTCCTTTTTTGTTCAGCTGAAAGCAGTCGCGGAACCCACCTCGCAGACACCTTGTGGAAACCCAACTCGTTGACAATGATGTTTTGAGTTCGTTCATAAGAGATGCCTATAATCTCGGCTATCTCTCTAATTTTTAATCTGCGGTCTCCCATTATTAAATCAAGTACTTTTTTAATATTTTCGTCAGTAGTTGACGTCGAAGGCCTTCCAGAGCGGGGTTCATCTTTCACACTCTCTCTACCACGCTTAAATTCTGCTATCCATTTTTTGACGGATGAATATGACAGAGCACAATCGCCTAATGTACTGACCATGTCATCATGGATGGCTTTTGATGATAGCCCCTTCTTATGGAGGTACTTAATGACGGCACGCTGCTCGATTTGCTCCATTCGCGGAAATTATGTCCGATTACTTTGTTAATAAATTTATAAAATCACAACTAATTATCGCACACGTTTCGAACTTCACACAATGAACTAGTCTGAACTGAACTAAATAATGTGGGTAGATTTGATTTTTAGAATTGAATGGCTCTGTGTTAGGCCGAGTACTTTTCAATCCACCCTCGTATGACGTAGTGTGCATATTTATTAATTATAGTGTTATTAGCTGCCTAACCATGTCTGTTGTCATTTTATGTTTAGTTTTCATGTCTCATCAATGCAAAACACAATGTAATAATTCTGTTATTTGTTACGAAATTAATAATACTTCGGCTTTTTATTTTCTTTAGTAAAATAACAGTTCATATGTGTTGTAACTAATCTCTTATATATACGTAAGGCCCAATAATGTTCATTGTATTGTACAAAGTAACACACTGCTCAGGTATACCTATAAAATATCATCTCATAAACGGCGTCTACAATATGACGTACATTCGTGTTTTATGGATTTCGATCCTTAATGTTCAATAAATCAAAAGAAGATTTATTGAACAAATCTAAAATAGAAGACTTTTTAACTTCTCACTTTTAAGTTAATTTATATAATCAATGTTTAGAATAGAACTATAATTTAAAAAAAAAATTTTCTCCCTAAATATAATTTAGAGCCAGAATATCTCTATATAATAAATATATAAATCAATTACTGTACATTAATCTCGCAAAGACTCGAAAATGATTGGACAGATTTTGATGAAATCTTTTATGTGTTTGGAGTGATGGATGATCTAAACAATTCACAATTGGATTAGTAGGTAGCGCTGTAGTCGAGATCCAGAAATCACCCGTGCGAATCTGGGGCGGATCGCTATTATTCAATAAATATAATACTTTCATAAAAAATAATATTTTAAATATGATATCACCTGGCGCGCTGCTGCCGCAGAAGAATTAAAAAAAAAATTAGAAAAAAAATATTTTTATAAATTAAGATGAGCTATGAAGGTAAAATTAGTTACATTCTATTTATTTACATCTTAAATAAGCTAGAAAAAAATCTGGTTAAGATTTTACAAAAAGTCTAATTTGAATGGGCCAGAACTCTGTGTGGTGTGTTTCAGAAACTATTTTATGTTAAATTTTTTTAAAACTTGCCTTTTAATAAAAAAAAACTCCATTAAGTGTCAAATGAAGTGAATAATCAAGTTGATGTAGAATATTCCCCTATTAATTGCTAAAATGTTGAGTAGAGACCACAGTGTGTACACCAATGTTATGGTGGGCTCACCTCGCAGGGCCTAAGGCGATAGATCCTGGTGCATAGGGTCGTAGCCCATAGCGGCGTCGTAGCCGGGCTGCGGGGCGTCGTAGCCTGGCGCTGGTAATGAGTAGCCCATGGAGTCCTGCGTGGGCGCCGGGGACATCATGGGGGTCGCCGTGCCTGACGCCGCCCCCATTGAGTACGGGGACGCACCCGCTGCTGTAAGAACATATGTCTCAAGTCATTCATTCTGTAAGTTTTATTGATACAACTAGGGATTTGAACACGCCATCTTTACTGATTGATATATATGTTATGGACAAAGTGATTAATAGGGCATTATTCATAATGCCCGGACAGTATGATAAAAATATTGAAATAATTAAATAGAACGAGCTTTATGAATAAAGTTCATTACATATTGGGCAGAGTAATAAAAGGTTAGATCAGGATTTTTTTGATGTCACATATTTATAATAAAGTTTTTTCATCAAAAGTATTTTTTTATTTGTAACATAAAGGAAGAAATACTCCTTAATATATAAATTGAATAAATTGCTACTATTTGGTACCACAAAGTGGTTTGTGGTTGTTGTTATTTCGGACTATTAATTTCAGATTTGGTACATTTATTACCCATTAATGGCTTAAAAATGATTGAAATGGTTAGCTTAGTGTATATCAAATTGACCAAGAGTTGCATAGCAATATTCACAATGACCAGACAATGTTATAAATGAAGTTTAAATCTGTTTTAATCTATTTTTTTTTATTATAGTATTTAAAATTATATTTAATAAAACATTGTATATTGTTATGCAAATAAATGTATTTAAAATCAGTATTCATTATTATAGCCCAACTTGACTTGTCATTATTTATATTGCCCAGGCATTATAAATAGTTCCCTGATTAAATCACTTGGTTCATAACATATACATGTGATATTGACAATTTTATAATACAATATCAAGACAGCAAAGGGCCTTAGTAATTTCGCGAGGGGGGAGCACGTTGTTAAAACTGTCTTTACATGATACATTCTAATGGGAGTTATTTGTTGTAACATCAAGTTTGAATTTGAATTGAGTTTTACTAGTAAAATAGGTGATTTAATTTCAAAGAATTTATTTTTGGCAATATTTTAAAGAGGTGTCAATTGAAAATGAATTATTGTTTACTGTAATATGAAGTGGGTCGGGCCGGAGGGGAGCTAGCATCGCGCCTGCACGCACCAATCCAAGGCAGGTCTGTGTGCGGAAATTAAAATATAGTACCCGGTTTATAACAACCCCAAGGTATCTATTAAATTTAAGAAAGACTTTCTAGCCTTGTTGAACTAATAGTGAAATCTACAAGAACAACAATTATTTATTTACTCAAATATATAGTGGTCTTACAATTATTAAATTGAATTAACAAAATTAATAAAACGAAACTCCCTTTTTCTGTGTATTTAAGCTCATTAAAAATACTAAACCCAATAACCTATTTCACCGGGTATTTAGTAAGTACATTCCTAAGCTTCACAGATTTATAAATACCACAGTAAACTTAAAATTTATTGAAGAAATATTTTTGTATGAATCTGTATAATACTATACAATAAATAACAGTTTTTGAATTACATTACAGACTAAATTTACAGTTAAATTAAAGTTACAGATCAATAAGTGATTAACGTTTTGCAACAATTTTATATCAAAAATTAATTTTAAATCTCAAATATTGTTTTTTGATTTACGTGAGCAAAACCCATTAACAAGGCAAGTAATATAAAGTAACAAATTTTTCGCATTACCCTTTCATCAAAATATTCAAAATCTATCGACCAAGGCGCAAAACTTAAACAATTACCGGCTGCTTTCTTGGCCGCATAGAGATTTGCTTCCTCCTGAGCCTTGCCAATGTTCTTCTTGTAACGAATTCTCTTATTTCCAAACCAATTGGATACCTGCAAACAATTTAATTGATGAAATGTTTTAGTCAAACAGTCAGCTTTGCTATGTATATATTATATAATATATAGTTATTACAGAAAATTATTTAATATGAAATAGTTTAATATATATATTAAGCAATTATTTTAAGACAGTGTACCGTTAACATAGCATTACGGTAAACAGTGTTTTATATGCATCCTACAGTCTAAGTATTTAAGTGGTACTCTTCAATACCAATTACTCTTGCATTGCATTACATATTAGCATAGTTACACAATCAGTATCTGTAACCTTTTGTGTTGGATGTTGGTTGCAGGTGTCCGTGGCCTGCAGTAGCCTTTTGTTTATAGGATAAGGGTGACAAGCGAGCACACAGTCCACCTGATGGTAACTGGTTGCTGTGGCCCATAGATATCTACATCTATCCTTGTTTGCAAATCAAAATGCAGATGCATTGTCAGCCGTGAGGACTAAGATGGTGTTCTCTACACTCACCGTACGAAATACAGCAACATTTAGCTGCTATTTTACGGTGGTATTCTATGAGATTGACCATCAGGTGAACTAATAGCTTGTTACTTCAGTTTTCTAAAAAAGGTCTATTCATTACAGGAGAGGATAATCTTCCCCCTTAATTAAAGCTGAATGTGTTTGCTCAAACAGCTGAAAATAAATGTTTACACTTTTCATCTAGTAGACCAATTTGTCAGCATACTGAAATTTTCCAGTGGCTTTTTTCTTTTTTGAGATGTGAAAAGATGAAAACAGTAATAGCTTCATGTGTGAGTTAAATATATAATCACCTGTGAGACAGTGATGCCACACTTGCGTGCAAGCTCCTCTTTGGCCTCTTCGCTGGGGTACGGATTGGAGAGGTGTGAGTAGAAATACTCATTGAGTATCTCAGACGCCTGTTTGCTGAAATTACGCCGCTTGCGACGCGCATCCAGAAAACTAAACAACAATTATTATATACCTTAAATTAATATAAAAGTTCAGCACAATGCAACATATTAATTCTTATTATTAAAAAAAATGTAATCAGATATGTTGAAACTAGTTAATTATGTAGCTAAAACTTTTCAGGCATTGTATGTTGTGGAAAAAAATTAAGTTTTCAATTAAAGTATACATCTGAAATGGTTTATTCTTTTATAGATGACTTAAACAAAATATTATATAATCCATTAAATTATTAGGACTGTCATGTTTAATTTAAAAATAAACTGTTTATGTTCTACTAACTTTGAACAAAAACATTTTCTTGTGGATCGTAGACTTAAAATTTAAGTATAGCATAATGACTAAGTCATATTATACATGCAAAACATGTAATACATGCTTTTAGTAACACTCCAATTACAAGAAGACATAACAATCAATTAGAAAATACAGACGTGCTTACATTTGGAGAATTAATATGTAAAGCATGATATTTAAAAGCATAAGTCAAATTTGACAGATTGTGGTACCCCCAGATAAGGAAGTTCTTCTTTTATTTGGAATAATAGGGAAGACTATTTATTTTTTAAATAATAGCAATACTATTCACATTACTAATATTCCTTCTAACCACTCCTGGTAAGTTTGACATGCTTGTGTAAGGAGTGGTTCACGACAGTAGTTGAAAGGCAAATTAAAACAGATGACCTTTTGAGTTCAAAGTCCACACCCTGCAATTAGGCGGCTGTCGCTTTTTAAACTATTAGCTCCATGATTTCTAATACAGTTTAAACAAAGTTTTCAACTTATAATGAGATTTAAAATAATATTTTTGACGTATCTTTTTAAAAAAAAAGGCAAAAGTCTACATACATCCCTTTGGTGAATGCAGGCCTCCACTAATTTCTGAGACACTAATGCAGCATTTAAGAGCAGGCTGCCATACTCATTTGACTTCGCATGTCCTTTAAATGTTCTCTAGATGTATTTTTTTTGTATGAGGTAATTCGTCCCTTAAAAGTTACAAGCGTCTGTCGACACAACTAAGATGTGCAACAGATGTAACAATGTACATGCGCAACTTTAGACATGCACGTGCATATTTGTTGGAAAATCATTACGTATGTAGTTACTATGAAATATGTTCCAGAGGGAATCAAATGTAAAATGCGCCGAAATAAATAAATTTAAAGTTTTGAAAACTTTTACTTTCTTTAACAACTCCTTACAAAATAATGTGGACATACTGGGAACTAGATGGAGTGACGACCTGGTAAGACATGCAAGAAGTCAATGGGTGCAGGTAACAACCGTGCTTTGTGGCACTTGCGGGAGGCCTATGTTCAGCAGTGGATTTGTGTAGGGCTGTAATGATGAAGATGATGTTAACTGGTAACATGTGCTATTAAAATATCTTTTACTTTATGACACCTTCAGCAGGATAAAGAGAAAAGTGGTATCCTCACCGTGAGCGCAAGATCATTACGGCTTCACAAGTGGACTGCTTGAGTTGCATCTGGATGGAGCTGAACTTCTTGTGGATAATCTGCACCATACGCTCAATTTCCTGTTGTGGAAAGAATAGTTATTAAAAAAATATGTTGTAGAACCAGAGCTGCAGCTATATTATAGTTGTAGCACGAATGGGTCAGCTCGACCGGGGAAGGACCACGCTCGCACAGAACACCAGCGTAAAATAGCAGCTCAATGCTGCTGTGTTTCATAATATGGTGAGTATAGAGAACTAGACTCTTTTTACTTGATATGAAGCATTCCATCTTAGTCTTTAGGCGTCATAACTCATCTGCATTTTGATTCTTAATGGAGGATAGATGTAGATGTCTACCGGCCAAAGCATCCACTTACCATTAGGTGGACTGTGTGCTCGTTTCTCACCCTTATTCTATAAAAAAAAAGAACTTGTCATCGAATCTCGAATCTGTGACGTTACTTGAATAGTGTCATCGTGATCAGTACTGAACCTGAATGCTGTTGCCTTAAAATACGGACCCAACTCAAGGACTGATTTATGTTTGACATTTCAAGCTTTGGAAATGGTATTTATAATGTTTTTTTATGCAAATTTATAGTTCTTGGTTCTTCTTCTATATATAAACTATTTCATTAATGTCATTTTGACAATAAATTTCGTTGCGTTTTCTAGAATCATGAGGACTTTCGAGGACTGGAGCGCGCGAAGGAGGCCATGGACGACGTCGCGCAATATATTAACGAAGTCTTCAGTCATAACTCATCTGCATTTTGATTGGAAAGACTTTCCATTGACGTCAGTCGAGTTTGGTGTTGATACGTATTTTTACAGAAAGATTACATTTTTATAAGCACACACACAGTTTTAACCTCTCGGACCTTGACATTTTATTGGACATATTTAGTTAGAACTATGGTCAAGCCAAAGAGTATAGTAGGTCAGGCCAGACGATTTTTTTAAAAAATGGTAAAAATAACTTAGAGTCATTACTATGTTCATATCCAAAAATAAAAAAATATCAACAATTAAAATATCGAATTATTTATATGAAGGTCAAGTGAGCGCTAGAGTAACGACGATTGCAAGACGATTTGTCGATAAATGAAATGTTTCGAGAAATTATCAATTACTGTGTAGTGGCGGTGTATGAATATTCATACTATTCCGTGGGTTTCGTAAGAGGCGACTGATCCACTGTTCAATACAACAAGGTACGTGTACCGTGGAACAGAACGTGGCAACTATGACAAGTATACCCTCTATGAGGAATATAGTGGAGGCCTATGTTCATTGGGGGTTTTTATAGGATGTAACGGTCCATCACCAGCAGTAGAATGAAACTGTAAGGAGAGGGAGGGATTAATTTTATTATTTAAAAAAATATTTTTGTGTTTTTTTTTTTATAGAAGAGGGGGCAAACGAGCATGCGGCTCACCTGATGGTAAGTGACTACCGCCGCCCATGAACAACCGCAACACCAGGGGAATTGCAGATGCGTTGCCGGCCGTTTAGAAAGGTGTAAGCTCTTTTCTTGAAGGTCCCTAAGTCGTATCGGTCCGGAAAATCCGCCGGTGGTAAACAATTATGTGTAAAAAAGTCATCAAACAGCATCAAACAATTTATTAAACAAAAGTTGCGTAAACAAGTTCAATGGTTAAAACAATATTAAATAACAAAACCAAACAATTCTACTGAAAAGAAAAAAAAGTAAATATTATTTCACTTTTACAACTAAGGCAAATCTAACGAATCGCTATATTATGTTAAAATTCAATATATATATATATATATATATATATATAACATATATATATATATATATATTTTAATTAATTTAATATATAATAATTTAATTATTTAATTTTAATATTTTAACATATATATATATATATATATATATATATGTTAAAATCGAATAAATATTATGAAGAAAGAAACAAGGACATAGAAACACTTGATTTTCATAAAGAAAAGAAATATATAATATAATTATATCGATAAACTCAGTAGAAGCCTCAAAAAAAAATTAAATCACAGGTATATACTTGTACATCCGTAAGATAGCGTAATAAAGTATATACTTTATTACGCTATCTTTGAGCAACGCCATTTTTCTAACGACTTCAAACAGGAGAAGGAAGTCGACTGTGTTTTTTATGTGTGTTACCTCATAACCTTCTGGGTGATCTGATTTCGATGATTCTTTTTTTATTTGAAAGCTGGTGCTTCACATTCACATTTTTATTTTTAGTTATTGTTGAAAACAACTTCGCCATAATGTTCACTATATATCGAAATTATAACATAAAACGTAATTTTCGCGCATTGGACTTTGTGGGATATGAAAATTTGTGTTTATTACATGATTTATTGTGATAACTCACACTTTTTATTTACTTTTCAGTTAATTCTGGCTATTAAATATAGTGATACGTGAACGACACAGTATTTGAAATGGCAATTTTATAAAATATATGAAATTGTTACGAAGCAAAATATAAGGAATTAAATTTTAAAACAGTGTAATTACTTACCATTTGTATAAAAACTAACAAAAAACTTTCTATTGTACCCACTTAATTTTTTGTAAAATTTCTAGTTGCCTCTTACACTCACGCGGCGAAGGATATAAGACTAAAGTATGTGACGTAAACGCGACGCGAGGCGGAAACTCGTCATTTGAAGTAAATTCTGTTAATTTAAAGAAGCGTAATTTAATAACGAAACTAATTCTAATAAAATTTTAGTTTTATAGTTCATCTAAATAACATTTAAAAAATAATTGTTATGAGCACAATAACTATGGTTCTGACTAAACGTAGTGTAGTGATCATATACTCTTTGGTTCTGAGGGGTCCTTTCTAAATATTACCATACTCTTTGGAGCGTTCTACAAAGTTGACCTTGGCTTGCCTCATGTGTACTTCAAAGGCTTGACAGATTAATATGCGGAAACACGTACTTATTGAGAAAAAAATATTGTAAATCAAATAATTTTGCAATATTTAGTCAATTCCTACCGTGAAACTGTCATGAAACTGAAACTTTTTATTATTATTGTACTATTACTATTATTGTAGTATTGTACAGTAGGGATGTCGATTCTTTCCGAAAAAGATCGATTTTTTAAATAGATTCGAATTGTAAGCTGATGTATCGATTCCCAAAAAATCGATTTCTAAAATATCGATATTTTTTTCATTTTTGCATTTATAATGTAAATATAAATCTATTTTATGAGAAAAAAATCCCCTTCATTATAAAAAAATAAGGGGACTGATTCAGAAGGATTTCTGTATCTATTTTGAGACTACTACGTCTCCGGCTCTATAAAACCACTATAGGGGTAGGACAGACTCGTACCAGGTGGAGTCGGGGTCAATCAATTCGGTTCTTTGACATAAGTTGAACCTAACCTATTTTATTTGTTATCTGTCCTAATAGGTACTGTTAAATAAAACAAATTTCAATAAGAGATCATTTATCATGGTATCTTTCTTGTTTTTCATAAAATGGGTTTATATCACAGAACACGGAATAAGACATTAGAACGGCTCCAACGCACTTTTTGTACGAGAACCTGCGTCGGCAGTAGGCGGAACCCTGTTGTCACAACTACATTTGCAAATATAAGTACACGCTCACACATGCATTAAAGACGCCAATCAAATGTGTAAAAGAGCCAACCAAATGACAGGCAAAATCGAGCGAACTAATCCGGCGCGTGCTCACTCACACATGCACGCATACATGTAGTGAAGGCGTAAAGACGCGTAAGCAACTAGTGAGTTGAAGTGGCGATTGACAATTTTTTATCGATATCGATAAAAACTTCAAGTTGAGTGTTCGTGTTATGTAGGAATGGATGTAGGGAATGGATACGGTTTGTATTTAGGTAAGTTATAAATAAAAAAATTAAATTACTGTATTAAAATTAATGTTGTAATTATGAAGCAATTTTGATCAAATTTAGTACACAGATAAATTAGATCTTGGGGAAGGTTTTTATTTGGTTGACAAATTTTGTTGAGAGCTCTAAAGTACAAAGGGTTAAAAATCAGACATAAAATAATTCGATGTGATGAATAAGCAAAGCAATGCTAAAAAATTAACTTTAAAAGAGAATGTTATTTTTATTGCCCATGAAAAAGGCTTTGAAGGATTCATCTGTGAAGCCTGGTTCTCCTTTTACACTTGTGTACCATTTTCGTAAAGTACGCACATGAGGCAAGTATGTTTTAAATGTATCTCTTACGTAATTATACGCTTTGGGCGAATAGTAATGTAAGGTAAGTGCAAATGTTCGGAGAGCTGGGGAATAACGCTGTTTTGTAATTCCACCGGACTTTTCTTTTGATATGTACCGACGCATTGGAGTCAATGAAGGAAGGAACACTGGACTGAAGTTTTTTTACATAGTCCGTTGTTACCTGTATTGCTATACTAGAACACTCCTCCATTAATACTGAAGAATTAGTCGGTACTGAATCCATATCATTAATTGGTTGATTAACACTCTCTTCCATTAATACTGTTGAAGAGTTTAACGGTACTGGATCTACATCCCTTATTGTTTGACTAGCACTCTCTTCCATTACCGTTACCCTTGAAAAAGTTGTCAGTATTGTATCTACAATTTCCTAAAATAAAACAAGATAATAAGATCTACAGTGCTGTATATTAACCTAAAATAATAGTTTAACTACGAAAGATAAACGAAGTTTGTTGATTGGTAACAGCAATAAAAGTGAAACTCAGCAAAATAATGTGTTAGTTAGGTACCATCTATAACTAACCCGAACTTTAGCACGTTTGTTTATTATTTCATTGCCTATGTTCTTCTGAGTACGTTTTTTTTTTTTGTTTTTTTGAGTACGTTTGAGTTTAGCTAAATTGTGTTATACTGTTTTTCTTTTATCATTTTTCTGAACCCAACTAACAAGTTTTGGTTGATCGCCGCGCGAATGAAAAGAGACGGTGGCGTCTCTTCAAGTAGGTGGCTTCTTGAACTTTGAAAACTTTGAACCTTCAGCTCGGCTCGGACTGAGTTTAGCTATATACTTGTCATACAAAGT